CCACCACCACTGTTGTCAGATAGGTCTGCATCATTCTTAGGAGTATGAACATAGTACGAACAATTGTTGTCAACCATCACACACCACCAGAAAAAGAATCATCATCATCCATCTTAGTAATATGATTATTTTATGTTGGTAAATATGATGGTTTGGTTTATAGTTTACATTCTKGTATGGAGTGTTTTATATTTTCTTGGTTKGATATTACAAKGARAGAAATGAATGAGCAGAAAAGGTGTTTTATATAAAGTAATAGTTTAAAACTCTTTTTGGTATTTCAGTCTTATTTTGTGTAGGATTTGTACTGCAGTCTACAMAAGTGAAAATCATGGAAACTCCAAAAAAATTCCAAAAAATGCACGATTTGGGCGGAGACGGGAAAAAGTTAACGTAACTGGTAATCCGTCGTTTCGTAACGTCCCAGTGGTCCGAAAACAGCAAAAAGGAAAACAGATGCGTCGCAAGAAAATGTCCAGTCTGAGAATCGAACTCAGGTTTCCGCAACCACAATGCGGGGTACTAACCACTGTACGAACTAGACAAATTTGATGTGTTTCAACATCAGTGTATTTGATTTTAAAAATACTCACAATTTTTATAGTATTCATCCTTTTGCATCACCCACCTGTGCAATACGGTACTACTACTCGTACCGGCCGGCCGGCATGGTACGTACCATTTTCACAAATTGCATGGTACGAAAAAATTCCAAAAATATTCTCGAAAAGACCGTCGAATATTGAAGATTGATCAATCAATTCGAACCTTTTAGTGACAACAAGATCTCCCATATTTATCCTGGGAGGAAAAGAAGTGCATGCTTCTGACTGAAAGGGAGCAAGAGCAGTGAATTATTTCCTTACCGAAGCAAAAGATAGATGAAGTCTGATGAAAGTCGTCTTGTAAAAAAAAATTATTTTCGTTTCTATATACTAAGGAACAAAATTCTCAGTGTCCTCTTTCTATCCCGACATCGTTCTGATAGGGATGGGACGCTTGCTCAGTTGTGCTTCGGGTACCAGTGCAACAGATCATACATGAGCTGATATGAGATTCTATATCGTCTCAGGACTTCCACTCACGTATCGACAACACTCTCCAGCAGTTTGTTACTGAATCGGAGACGATTAAACAATGCATATCTCAACACATACAGACCATGATTGATGGACAGAACAATCCACCAGCTGCTACCGCACCAACCCTCATTCAACCTCTTCGAGTCCAACGCCTTCCCCGATGGAACACAGGAGATATTCATGGGATGACGCACCAACGTGCCAGCGCTTTCAATCTAGCAAAGACAAAGTACACTCATTGCGGTTTGAGGAGGCAAAATTTGCATTTCGATGACGCGCTTGCAACCACAAACAATGGAATCCACGTCTCTATGGAAAATGACGAATATGAAACCTTCGAAGTTATCACGAGCTTGTGATGCCACTCACTACGATGCATTCGAGCTTGCGAGGTGTCATTCTTTGATGTCATCGCCGAATATGATATCGCCATGCAACATATTCTTGTTGTCGCCATCGAAATGGCTTCCTTCCATGATGCTTTCCTCGCTGCTATCATCGGACTCCATCGCGTCGTAGTCATCCTCCGCATCGCCAATGTCTCGGTATCGGCCCGAAATACAGTGAAAAGTTTCGGGTTGACCGGTGGGAACAACGAGGCAGGGTATTCTCCTCGTGTGGAAAGATTGTTCGTGCTTTTCAATACCTAGCATGACTTTGTTAGTATTCTCAGTTTCAATGCCCCTGTATTTTTCGTTGGATTGCTGCTCTTCGATTGTTAGGGATCGACTCTGGTTTTGGCATGAGTTTTCAGAAGCTACCGATGTCGTTGACGACGACACCGGGGATGTAGATTCTGTTGACATACTAGATGTGGCGTTGTCCACGTCTCGGATGTGGTAAAATGTACAATCGCGTTTGCATTCGTCGTCGTACGGTGGTAACAGTACGTCTAGAACGGCCGCGCCGTGGGGTCCCGCCACAAATTCGTGCAAATTTCCCTCAAAGGGATACAGAGCGACCACACCCGGTGCCTGCAATACATCGATGCTGTTTTTGAAGGCAAGTTTGGTGCCATTCGGAAACTGTTTTTGGTGATGGTCAAAATCATTATTGTGGCTGTTTCCGCCGCTTCCAAAGTTCCTTCCATTCAAGCTGGTCCGTAGCCACGTTGCACTCCGCGATAACCAGGAGGACGATGCATGATGATCCTGGTCTAAACTACGAACAAAAGGTTCGTCGAAACGTTTGTCACCTTCCATGTCTCTCATTGCGACGCTGTCGACTTCGCCCATCGATTTTGATGAAGTATTCCTTCGGTTGTGTTCCTGTTCGCCGCGATCCAAATCCAGGGACAAGCGCTGCAAATCCCCATACAGGACTCGGGACAAGACACACATTTCGGGATGATCGTGGAGCGGGATTCGTTGGTTGGGGCCAAACACAAAGATTCCTATCGTGTACTGGTCAGGGATTTCGGCAATGTGCAGATATCGAACCACGCTGTTTCGGTATTCGTCGTGAGCGTTGTTCATGGCAGCATTTTCATCATCACCATCTTCACCGTCATCCACGCACAATTTGGGGAGTATCTGATCGCTAATGGGCCGGCAATAAACTCTTTGTTTGTATAGTGTACATGTTTGTGCGCGGGTTGACAATTGATTTTCCACACGATTTGTTGGAGCGAGAACGAGGGACAGCGGTAAGTTAACAATTGGACTCATGGGACAATCCAAAGCTGACGCAATCTCGATCTATCGTTTCTCTCATTCTGGTTCTTACCCGTCTTGGACCCGGGCCCCCAAGGTTGTTTGTCCTTCTAGCCGTGATGAGGCGGAGGGATGAATCAGTTCGAGATTGAGAAGCTTTTCCGCATCGACCCGTTCAAGGGCTCGCTTGATTGGTTTAATTCGTTCGTCCAGCGTCGACTGTGGGATGTCAGCTAGGCATTTCGGGAGAATAGCATCCCTCTGTTTGGTAGTTTTTTCCCTGCGTTTCGTTCGGCGGCGTGGATTATTGACGTTCGATAAGGATGCTTGATCGTCTCTGATCGCTATTGCTGGTTCTGGAAGAGAGCCATTCGCCTTAGCCTCGTCCAACAGTGATAGCAGTGCAGATGATTGGATGGCGGAAGAAATATCCGATACCATGCGATGAACCTCGCCCTTCTTCGACATGATACTCGTTTTTGTTTTTGTTTCTACTTCTGTTTCTGTTACCTTGGACGACAACCAAAAAGACTTTGTAGTTGCTGTAGCTGCTGCCGTTGATAACCCTATTTCTATATCGCTCTAGGAGCGTATTCGTGTATATTGTTCAATCCAATCAATCAAAATGAAATCCTTGTAGTTGAGATAAAAGTTGTATGACCGTCGTGTGCCAGGCCATTTGTTGTATGTTTATGCCTTTGCCTTGTCCTCTTTTCTGCGATCAAAAGAGTGGTTTTGTTTGCCGGTAGTACCGGTAGCATTTGTTCGAATGCTGATGATTATCGGAGTTCGGGTTACTGTATCTCGATCAACGAATGTCGGGTCTCGTTGGCACTGGTTTCTCTTCCCGACTTCAGGAGCTCTCAGGTATTATTGTGAGAGAACGATACGATACGATACGATACGATACGATATGGTATTACCTGAAAAGGCCTTTCGTGTGGTGCACGTACGGTACCTCCTGCGCTACTATTAGTAGATTAGTACACTACCAGTACGAGTGCGTCCTCATTTACGTGCTTCTATTAGAAGTATTTAGTATTTTTCAATGCAATTGTGAAGACAGCGGATTACAGTACTTTACGTTATTGTTTACGACAGTACTCGTACGTACTTGTTACTTTTACTGTACTCGTACCACTTATTTTTTGATAAATTTACAGTCTACAGAATTACTGTAAAAGGATAGACATTCTTGCACGCATACTATCAGTATCAAAAATTAAGAAGAAAGCTGAGTCCAAAAAACAAAAAATGGAAAGACTATGAACCATCGACTTCTTGAGAAGAAAAAATTACTAGTATCACAAAACATCGATCGTCGGTAGGTTTTTGTGAAAGTATCTTTGTTTGAATCCGAATTTGTGCGATTTTGGCTTAGAATGGCGTTCCGTAAATGAATTGCATACGATGTGAAATTTCCGATTCTGAAGGTGAATTGTATCACGTACTAGTAATAACTAGCTACAGCAGAAGTGCACTACACGATGTTTAGTTATGTTTTGATGAGAGAATCGTGACGGAGGGCTAGGTTAGGTTTGAAGTTTGAACCATACAACTAGAGCATCTCATTCGTGTTTCATCAAGGTTTTGCGCAACAAATTCAGAACCATATGCGAGAACATTCATAAATGCTGAAATCGACCGGCTAAACAGAATATACTATGTTTTTTAGTTTGATTAGTATTAGGACAGGCCTTCGCAACACCTGCGTGACTCGTGCAAGGACTAAAAGAAGAAGTGAAGCAGCCGAACACTAATTACGAAACTCTTCGAAAGATATGCAGATTTCTATTTTAAACGTTGGAACTCATTAGATAAGTCCTTACGACGAAAATCACTTGTTTTGCGTACATTTAAGTCTCTGTACGTCTATACCCTGCCTTACTGCAAAAACGCAGCGTCTCCCAAGCGTTCCACTCGGTCGTCGTCCTCGCAGGGAAGATTAAATCCCTCTGTTTCTCCCACGCTAATTTCGTAGACGTTGCCGTTGTAGGAATACCGAACAGTCAATCGAGGACCTTCCTCTTCTTGTGGATCGTTCGATCGAGACAGATCGTCTTCCTCGTTCCCTTTCTTCCTTGTTGTTTTGATTGTAGATAACTGGTTCAAGAAATGATTGAAACGACGACAACCTATAGATAGCCATCGTCTTGCTGCCGATTTTTGGTTCCTGCCAAAGCGACGGCGATTCTTCCGGAACTTCGATTCTGTGGCTAGAGTGTAAAATCCCATCCAAGAAGATTTCGGAATCCCACTAGGAGCAACGAGTTTCCCGTTTAAGACCCAAAATTGCAGCTGTACTGTGGCGTCCATAGACACTACTTCGTGCACCATTAAAGATGGATCTTTGTTATCGTATTCGCTATGATTGTTATCCTCGCTACCGTTCACTATGGAGGAATTGTGACTCATTCGATGCCAGTAGGTAGCGGTCAAAACGATCAAGCCTTTTCCCGTGCCAAACTGTCGCTGCATTTCACGATATATTTTCTTTTCTGCTACGGGTTTCATCAGTGCCAGCTGTCGCTCGGCTTCGGACTTGGTCTTGACCATCAAGAAAACTCCACCTTTCCTCCTAGAAACTACGACACCGGGGCTGATTCCGTAATTGGCATCATTTGTACTGTTGTTATTGCTGGTAGGAGCAGAAGCCTTTCGATCGCCTCCTCCAGTTTCTTCCAGCAAGTCTGCCACCATAGATTGAAGGCACAAGCAGTAAATTCCATAATAAAATTTCTGGGAGTAAAAGGCCTGATAATTTGTCACGCTACCCAGTTGCAAGACAGGAATTGGTATCCGAAAGGTAGAATTGTTGTACTGAATCTCCCAGATCCAAGCCCATCGTCCCAGGGAAATATCGTGTTCCAGGCCAAATGCGAGAGTCGGATGAGTGGCCAGCGATGTGATCTCGTGTGTAACCATAGCATTTAGCTTCGAAAAGTGCCCCCATACGGTTGTGAGTTCGGCTTTTTTGGGAAGGGTGAAGTTTTCTTCGAGCCATGTCCAAAGGTTGCTTTCACTGCTGTTCTGTTCGTTGTTTCTACTCTCCCCCTTTTTTGGAAACTTGCACTTGTATCCGAATTCCAATGAGTTCCCCTGGAGCATACCAACAGAAGCCTTTGCCAAAACCTTGTGCGAAAAGCGGTTCTGCTGGTGTTGTTGCTGCTGTGGCGTGCTGCTTTGGAATAACTTGGAGAACGACGACAGAGTCGCCTGCCAGCTGGCATTCCATTGCAGTATCCGGCCGTTGCTCCCGGCCGAAAGACCCACAGATGTCGTCCCGATCCCTTGCAGGTGACGGTAGGTCTTGAGGTTAAAAATAACTGGGTCGTCATCTGGAAGGGGAGATCGACTCAGGATCGTCATTCCGTACCGGCAGGCCGTTTGGTTGGAAAATGTATGTGTCGATCCGAGGGAATACTGGTGGGACTCGTTGTCGTTGTTGAGATTAGCCGTCCCAAAGATCTGTGTCGTAGGGGCAGCCTGGTAGCTGGTGTTGACAAACATAGTGATTGGGTGCTTTTCAGCCATAGTTTGGTAGTCTTTTTTCTTCGGATCTTTGGCAATCGCTGCCATTTTGGTCAGTTCCGCCACCCCCGGATAGATCAGGTCTGTGCTGCACCCAACCGCCATGGACCATTTACTGGGCTGCTGTCTGATAGGATTGTTGTTGTCGCTATCGTCGCTATGCGTGCTTTTATTTCTCGATGGTTGAACGACACTCGTCAGGGTAAATCCAACATCTGCTTTTTGAGATGATCGCAACTGGCTAATCTGGTAGTCGACAAGTCTCCGCTCCTGCAAAATCCGTTGCTGAAGATACTGTTTTTCCTCTTCGTCCACAGGTGGAGAAGATAGCATTTTCTTTTGAACGAAACGAAGGTAATCTCTTCCCTGATATAAGACAGGCTTAAGTGGAACCACCGGAGGAAAGGTCATGGACAGATTTAGGTGGACGCAATTATCCTCCGTCAAATTTTGCAGATAATCATGCTGTTCCATGAATTTCCGGAGCTCTTCTTTTGCTCCCGATGCATCCTTTTGAACCACCAACAAGTGTTCCAACTTTTCATATAGATTCCAAGCATCGTCGTCATCGTCGTCGCAATCGTCATCATCATAATCGCTGCTGTCGTCGTCTTGTTCGTCGAAATCATCGTAGTTTGCGTTGCCGTTGTCATCTTTTCCCTCTTCTTGCTCCCGCGCTGCTTCTTCCCGCCTGGTCTTTTCGTCCCGCTGTTGCTGCTGAACTTTTCGAATCAGTTCCACTCCATCCTCTCCGTAACAATCGTATGCCAAGCGCAAAACGGGATCGATCAAAACATCGTGCGCTCTTTTGAATTGCAAAAATGTTTCCTGAATTTTGTCGGTTTCTTGTTGAGTAATTAGTGTTGCTGGGGTCTGTCCTGTTTGCTGCCGCAAGCGGACCTTGTCAGGATGGAAGGTCGTGGAAAGAGTGCGATACGAACGATGTACTTCGTCAGTGGTAGCATCTCGACTTAGGTTTAGAATGGAATAGAGATTCGGCGACGAAGAATCATCATCATCCTCGTGATCAATTCCGTTCCTACTCGTGTCATCTTCCTTTCGTTCCTCACCATGCTCCCCTGCCATGACTGGGAATGGACAAATTCGTCAACAGTCGATCAATCAGTCAAACTCGAATCGTCAAGACTACAGATCCTTTAAACAGTTGCACTTCGACTATCGAAAGTCCCAAACACCAGCTAAAAACTGTCACCATCGCCTCAGATCTACGATAGTACGAGTAACTCGTACTCGTAGTTTTCCGAGTTGTTAGTACGTATTGTCAAAGCATCAGCTCGACAGCATCGTATGTCTGTGCATCAGTTTTTTTCATTTCCAGTGTCCTTGTAGGAGAGAAAAGCACTCTCAGTATCACACGATACTAGTACTAGTACTAGTACTAGTAGTGGCAGCGGTACTACTACTACTAGTACCATGAGCCAGTACCTGTAATTGAAGTAATAGTAGTACTAGTAATACTAGTAATATAATTGCTGAAGGAAAAAAGAACAACAACAACAACAAGAAAAAATGGGTAGAAGAACAAAAACCACCACAAGAAGAAGAAGAAATAAAAAGAACAAGAAGAAGAAGAAGTTGTTTACTACTAGCACTAGTACTAGTACTAGAAGTAGTAATAATAGTAGTAGTACTACTACCTTTCCTCCTGATCCTCTGTCTTCATTTTCCAGTTTTAGTAAGAAGTGGAAACTATTGTACAAGAATCAAAATGATGGCAAACATAATGATGGGTGATTCCCATTATTATAGAATGCTAAATGTGCTAAAAACAAACCTATGAGTTTAGCACTTCTATAATAACGGGAATCAAATTTTCAAGGGACAGACTGAGAGGAATGCCAGGTTGATGCCAGTCTTTTTGGGAATTTGGAATCTCAACAATACTCCAATGTAAAGACAAAAAAGACTTATTTTGGATCAATACTCTACTACTAGTGCTGGAAGGGATACACATATTTTTGATACTCTCAGCAATATAATATAATTTTGTATCAAAAAATATGTGCATTCCAAACACACCTCACACTAGTAGCTAACGAGTTGGTTCATCTTGATGCTAGCTCAGCTGAAAGCAGTCTCATTAGGGTTTTCATGTATACCCTTGTGACTCAGCTGTCGCGTTTGTTAATACACGCAAATGATTGTGTAGATAACAATTAATATGGTAATGAATATCAGAAGTTGAGCATTATGCTGCAATGAAGACAAGTTTCTGATACTACACAACATGTGCATGCCAATCCAAACCATTTTTGTGGCCAAGAATATAGGTAAAACAGTCGTAATCCTGCATTGGTATACTACACAAAAACCTTTACAAGAAAACCAGAGCAAGGAGCTGTACAGTTTCCCTAATACAACAGTATGCAATAACACGGTAACATAGTGGGCAGCGCTTGTTGTCACTTATTGAACATGCTGGTAACAGCAGTTCCAACAATAACTTCCTTCCACATTGTACATCTCATGGTTCTCTTTGTCTCTTCTTTCCTCTCTTTTTTCCTTGCTCTAAATGTATTCATTGAATGCAGTGGCGCCAGGGACACTGGATTTCCTCTGTTGCTGATAAGATCTCTTCCTTGGGGTTGATTCAACACCAAGAGAAGGGGTCAAATTGCTGGAGGAAGCTACAGCAGCAAACTACCTTTGCTCCTGTTGTTCTTCTGTTGCCCTGGCAGTTGCCACCCCTGAAGACAATGCTGGAGGCTCTAAATCTTCCACAGCAGCCTCACTCTTAATGAAGCCTTTCTTCATATCAAAGTCCTCCTCAGCAGTACCAAGATTTGCCTTCTCACCAATCAAGATATGGGCCCTTTGTGCCATCTTCACACCACCCACCCATACTCTGGCATGTTTGGTTTTCTGGTTAAGCTCTTAATTCTTTTCACAGCTGCATACTTAGTCTTGATGGATGTATTGGTCCTAACTACTATAGGCCAACGCTCTGCATGCTTTACTGTAAGTGTGTACCAGCCCTAAGCATATATACTAGGGAGCATGTTCAATATTAAGCTCATGAGACTGGTGGTAGTAGCTCCTCTGGAGAGTAGTTTATTGTAGTACTGGTCCTGCAGCCGGTGTTGGCAGTTGGATCCATCTTCTCAATTGTAGTGTGGGGCATCGGACAACAAGCCTCCTCTCCTTTGAGGCCAGTTGAATGATGAGCTCCCTCTTTGAGGTCACTGGCCTCCTCTTCCTCATTGTATTCTTGTTACTCTCTTTGCTGCAACAAAGAAAGGAAATAGAATGTACTGCTACTACTAGTAGTAGTAACTAAGAGCACTGATTGGGACAGTAGTTTATGTGGTACTACCATAATTGTTCGAGGCACCTGAGCACCATTGTTAACAGATGCACCTCTCTTTGTTCTTGTTTAGGATAGCCGGGTCTTGTGCAGTTTCTGCTGAATTTTAAAATGGGCTCAAAAATTTGATTCCTGAGTTCCATCATAGATCTCAGGCAAATTCAAAACAAAAATAAGATGCACCAGCCGTGAATCGAACACGGGGCCCAACGATGGCAACGTTGGATTTTACCACTAAACCACTGGTGCAAAGATCTTCCGATACAGGGACTCGAACCCTGGTATCCTGCGTGAAAGGCAAGTATGCTAACCACCTACATCATATCGGAGTTTCCTCGCTCAAATGCTTACAATGGCGACGAGATTCATCCATTATTAATTTTGATGTGCACTCCTGCCTCTACTACTGACACTACTAGTGGTGTTCACTACTGTATGCTCTGGTCGCCCGAAGCTAGTACCTCCCATAGGGTACCACCCACTGGTGTGACCACCACCAGAAGCACTACTACTACTAGTAGTATACAATACTATGGCCTGCTTCCCTTCTTGCTTCCTACAACCACCAGTACTAGTAATACTGCTCGGGTCAAGTAGATCAGTAGTTTGTTAACAAATATTGATGAAAATTAGATTCCTGCGATATCAATTGCTTTCTTGTAGATTCTTTTGCAAACAAGCGCCTCTTTCATTCCTGGTAGTGCCACCCAACAGCGACTGGTTCGGACCAGAAGAGAATTGCATGCATCATACTCTCGATTTTCTCCTTGACAGGAATTAGTAGTTTAACATTGATGAAAGGGCCTAGGCAGAAGCACCGCCCTCCTTGACGATGGGACTAAACATGGGGTCTCCGTTCATTTCTTTCTTGACAACTCTGAACAAAAAGAGGCTGACGCCAACAGCCAGTAGTGCGAAGACGACAATCAAGGCAATTCCGTACGTTGGAAGACCTGAGTTTGGTTGTAAACCTTGCTCCTCTGCTTCGCTTACGATTCGGATCTCGATTTTCTTCGGGGAGCCTGGGCAAAAGGTTTCGAGATCGGTTCCGTTCCAGATCGGAAGAGTGGTCCAAACCTTGAGACCGCTCAGAGAAACTGCTTCCGTAGATTCTTCGTTTGCTGTGAACTCCAAGGCATTCAGAGGTTTGCCTCGAGCTAGGGAAGCCATTGCTTCGGCCATGTTGTAAGCCGCAGCACCGAGACGCACTCCAACATTCGACGCGGCGAAGGGCATCACCAAAAACTGACGCTCCTGCACGGCCTTCATTTCACGGAGAACTGGGTCGGCGCAAAGATTGTACAATTTTTCCGCTGTTATGAACGAAAAAATCAATTGTCAAGAAAGTGAACTTCCATCAGTGAGTGAAAATTCAAACACGGCAAAAGAAAGCTCATGAATGTCTTACCTGCACTTTCTGTGGAGAGATCAATCAACACAATCAAGTCGGGATCCGACTTTACTACCTCGTCCCATTCAACACGATCCCAGATTCTTCGATCTTCCAGTCCTTGTTCCGAAAAGACATTCACTGCTCCAGCCTTTTCCAAAACAATTTGGGGTCCTCCACAACAGGCTCCCACAAATGGCCTCTTTTCGTCTGGTTTGCTCTTGCTCTGGAAGCCGTCCAACCAGAAGACCCGAATTGGGTTGGCATCGCTTCCAAGAGCTTGGCTGATGGCCAATGCTTGCTCGAAATGAGCTTCAATACCATCGACCATTTCTCTAGCGTTGTCGATGGCATCAAAAATTATACCCAGGTCCCAAACTTCCTGATATAGCGCATCAACAGACACTTCTCCTGGTCGATAGTCCGCGTACTCGCAGTATGACGAAGCTAGGTAGGTGTTGATCCCAGCTTCATGGATTTCATCGCGACAGTATGTTTTGTTCTCTCCGTAGGAGTTGGAGGGAATCAAAACATTACAAGGTTCTTTAAGACCAAGAGCTTCGGTGAAGTTGAGGCGGTCGCCATTGACGACACGTCCTGGATCCGTAGGGTCCTCAAAGGCACTTGAGTATGTGGCGTATATCATGTCTGGTTCAGAATCCATAAGTTCTTTGGCCGACGGATACTTGTCATAGTGTTTAAATTTGTTGAAATCTTCAGTGAGCGGTTCCCATACTTCCTTGACCCAAGCAGAAGAGACGATTTTATCTGACAGGCCCATTGCCAGCATGATCTCGACCGCACCAGAACTCGCTACGGCTACTCGCTCCGGAGGCTTGTCGAACCATTGCGAATAATGGCAATTCGTAATCCCAACGGGATACATGACTGCTTTAGCAGTCGAGAAGAGAAAGAAAAGAGGAGGGATCTTGAGATTAACCATTGTATAATTGATTGCTTACAATTTTGCTTTACAAGAAGAAGAAAATTACTTTTATGTGCTGAAGATTTTTTTGTGTGCCGAAGATTATCATCTCAAAAAGATACCAACTGACTTCCCGGCCGTTCCAAAGGCCAAATCCTTCCTACCTAGCAATTTAAGGATCCGTAGAAGGCCCATATGGCTTGACATCTCTTCTTCCCGTCATGATCGAGGTGTCAAGTGATCCCATCCGGAAACAATTTTCCTGGGGTTCTCATCCTAAACAAGGCCGTAATTCTAGGCTGAATGTGAACCGAATTCCAAACTTCTGCTCTCTGAATGAGAAAATCTTCGACTTTCCTGTCGATCAAAAAAGTGAGGCTGAATGTCAAGGCTCTTTCAGTCAGTCGATCAAATAAAAATATCATGTAGGCGTCCTACCAATTAGTGAGACTATTGGACAAAACTTCACGACGTAATCGCTAACGTGGGCAAGAATGAGCGCTATTGATTCGCCACCAAAATTTCACCCGATGTGGGGATTGAACCCACGACCACACGGTTAAAAGCCGAGCGCTCTTCCAACTGAGCTAACCGGGTTTCTCCCTTATCCCCTGCGTTTTATCACATATAATCTCAAGATCGTACTTCGCGGCACGAAAATGACACGTTACAAAATTTCTACAGCAGTATCAAATCGTATTTCGCGGCACGAAAATGACACGTTACAAAATATGGCTTGTCTAAATGCTTTTACTTATTTCCACACGATGATACGATGATAGGATGTGGTATTTGGCACGCCGTAGGGTATGTACTGTACCATACCATTCGTTACATTCGAATGATCGGAGCAAAACTGATCCTGTTGCAGAATCACCAAAAATCTAGAATTTTGAAGAAAACGACACGTTTACAGAAGTAAAAACGCATTTCATGCGCAAAACTGCAACTGACTTTGTTAATAACTTCCCCATCAGCCCAAGTTGAAGAATAGGAAGGAAGCAATCGAACCAAACTCCGTGGCAACAATCTCAGAAACAATGGCGGAAGTAGGAAAGAGAACGACGCCGAAATCGTCTTGGTGGAAGCACGCAATGGCCTCTGCCTTCCGAGGGGGGGCAGCAGGTTTGGTGGCAATGGTTCTTCAGGTAGTATTGTTGATGTGGTTGCGGACCACTGTCAACTACCAGTACAAGCACGGTGTCGACGTAGCGACTGCCCTTTGTACTCTTTACAAAGAAGGGGGAATATTGCGATTTTACCGCGGCGCATCCTTTGCCCTGCTTACGGGTCCGATTTCTCGGTTTGGCGATACGGCTGCCAACGAGGGGATCCGGGAGTTGTTTGGAAGTACGAACAGCAGAAGCAATGTTCCTCTATGGGCTGTTACCTTCTTGGCATCACTTGTGGCTGCCTCCTGGAGGATTCTCATTACTCCCTTCGATACGGTCAAGACGACACTCCAGGTCTATGGGTCGTCGCGGGGATGGGAACGACTCTCCTCTAAGACAAACAGGTACGGTATCCAAACCCTGTGGGATGGAGCACTGGGGAACTCCTTTGCCACACTGGCGGGCCATTATCCCTGGTTCGTCGTCAACAATTCCTTGGAACAATTGCTGCCCAAGCCAGCGAAGGGCAGCAACGATGAAGACGATCGGCTCTATAAACGAAAAACACTGGTCCGCCGGGCGTTCATCGGATTTTGTTCGTCGGTCGCCTCGGATTGCGTCTCGAACGGAATACGGGTCGTCAAGACATATCGTCAGACATCCGAGGTTCCTTTGTCGTACAGAGAGGCCCTCTCGGAGTTGATCATCGCCGAAAAAATGTCATTCGTCACCAGGGGTCTGGGCCTCAAGATCTTTTCAAATGGACTCGGTGGGATCTTGTTTTCGATCGTGTGGAAAATGGTTCTCGAACGAATGCAATTGTCCGCGAATGCAGATGTACATGCAGGTGCTCTTGTCAATGGAGATACAAGTGCTGGTGGCAACAGTGCAGAAGGGAAAAAAGGGAAATAATATTCACGACAACGTTTTTTGTGCTGACAGTCTAAGGATCACTGTGTTGTTTGGCGTGTGAGAGGACGTACTGCATTTGTTGCATATTTCATATAGCCGTTCTAGATTGAACAATGTTGAAAAGTACGCTCTTGATCTATCTCATAGGACTTCAGAAAGACAACGTAAATCATAGCACCTAGCAAATAGTCTTCATGACATCATTTTTCAAAACTATTAAGTGAATTTGTGTTATCATAATAGGCAGTGATATTGTCAGTTAAGCAATGAATGCTTTGTATGAACTAATCTTTGTTTACTCTAAGTGAATACAGCAACATTTTTCTAAAGGTGACCTGGAAGTTTAAAGCAGTGAGAGGTTCTTGGTTCTTTTGTGTTTCAAGTGACTTTTTGTATTTCTTAGTGTTTGGTACTGTAACATTTTGATCAACTTTTCTGACGTTAGTAATGCTACCATTACTACCATAATGTTTTGGTCCAGCATTAATTGTTAGTCTAATGCTTTGAACACTCATGTTGCAGACATTTTTACTAATGTTTTCTCCCAGCATTAATAATGTTAATCAAACTTTTTCTAATGGTGCTGACCCAAGAAAACGACTAGAATATTCTATACTTTATTTCTATTGCTAAAAAATCTTAATGTTATGTTTCATGTCGTGAACTAGAAGAGACACTCCTATATGACCAGAGCCATAACTTCTCATGACTACTAGGAAGAAGAATGCTTGTAACTGCTCCAAGGGGCGGTACCTCCCTCCTAGGAGGGATCATGGAGGTGCAACCAGGTTCCATGAATACTAGCAAGCCAATAAAGGCCTGGGGCTGAACTCAGATGACATAGATAGATTTGGTTCATAGATGGACAACTGCCATGTCATTGTTATCATTTCAAATTGTACTACCAAGCCAGAATGCAAGTCTCTTCCCAGTGATTAAAGAAGAAAGGAGTGCCAAGCACATGCTGATTCAAGCAGTATCAGCTAGGTTAAATTGGTTTAATATGAGCTTGTTGAGATGTTGTTGTTGCTGTCCAAGACAAATGTCAGAAACAACGACATTGTGACTGGAATCTTCTTCTTCCCATCCATAAATACTGCTGGAACTGGATCATGGTTCCTGTCCGTGATGTAACTGCTGGTACATGGAGCTAGCAAGGCTGGTGGTATTCTTTGTTAAACTGAGTGAGATTTACTAGCATACACTCCAGGCATTGTTTGTCAAAAGAAAGGTCTTGGTTGGATAATGGGGGCTGGGATTGTTGCTGTTGCTGCTGTCTGGCACAAATGTCACAAACAACAACATCAAGACCAGAGATTTTTTCTTCTTCCAGTCCAGAAGAAGTAACAGGGGTAGGTGGAACAATAGCATAGACTCTGGGTGTTGTCCTTTGAATACAAGGTCCTGCATGGAGAGGCTGAGGTATCATTGTTTTTAACTTAGTGTGTAGTAAGAACCTCTAGGCATTATTCTTCAGATGAAAGGTCTTGGTTGACTACTGCTGGGGGCTAGGGGTGTTGTTGTTGCTGTTCAGCACAAATGTCAGAAACAATAATGTCAATAACAGAAAACACAGTTTCTAATTCATAAAAACTGGGGATGGATCCAGGTGAGGCAAACTGCTGCCAGCTGGTGGGGATACTGTAATGATGCTGATCTTGTTATCTTGGTTCGATTGTTGTAATGGGGGCTTGTTGTTATTGCTGTCCAACACAAATGGCAGAAACAACAAGAACACAGTGACCAGTCCATAAATAATACTCCTGGAACTGGTACATGGAGCTGAGGCTGGTAACATTTTTCAACCAAGTATGTAGCATATATTCAGGCATTGTTCTTTGAAGGAAAGGTCTTACTGGGGTAAAGATTGTTGCAGTTGTTGTCTGACATGAATGCCAGAAATATATTCAACACCAGAAGATACTTCCGGATAGTAAACAGGGGATGGATCTAACTGAGGCAAACTGCCTATAGCTGGGGATAGGAGGGTAGGAATTAATCTTATTAGTGTCTTGGATAGAGTGTTGCTTTGCTTGAATACTAACTACTACTAAGGTCAGGGAGTAGGTTTTTCCCCTTAGGACAGGGATGTATGTTGGATGCCAGAAGGCCCTGGTCAGGTGTGTGCTATTGTCATCTGGGGATCAGTAGGAAATCTATGTGATCATTTTTAGAACCAAAATGTAAATCCATGTGTTTGAAAAATTTGATTTGAAAATTACTTTGTTTTGTTGTATTTCTATTACTATTTCTACTTTCTACACCATACAGTACAAAATAAGCCTTTAGTCTCTTGAAAAGTGAAATGGGATAAATGGCAATCCTAGTACTAATCCTCTGGCAAAATAGGCATTATTCTGCATCTTCTGACATAAATTAAAACTTATTGTAGTCAGTGGTCACTAATAGATAAACTATTGCTCCAACATGGTTATCAATGCAAGCATTTTCTGGAGAGAAACCGTTGGGTATTACTACGACTTTTAGTACTACTACTACTACTACTACTACTACTACTACTACTACTACTACTACTACTAGTACTACTAGTACTACTAGTACTACTAGTACTACTACTACTACTACTACTACTACTACTACTACTACTACTACTACTACTACTACTACTACTACTACTACTACTACTACTTTTTTGTTGTGGTGCTAAGCTCATAAATTTCGCCAACAAACAACAGATTAAACAAACCATGCAATATATAAAAATGCTTTTTTAACCAAACGCAGAAGAATGAGGAAAACCACAAACAATTACTAGTAGCTGTGTACTTTGTGGTGATATATAGTACTGTGTCTTCTTCTTGTCTCTTATCGTAAGTTGAGAGGACTGTTGTTCTATTTTAGGAAGTCTACCACTGATAGTCTGGGAGAAATAGTACCAGCAGCACACTCAAGATACAGTATTAGTAGTAATTCTGCTAGAAAACTCACTTCTTTGAGGCCCATAGTAACTCTGCCAGGTGATAACTTTACTACAATAGCTATACTTATGATTGTCTCTTATCATTAGTAGAAAGGCCTGTACAATTTTATGAAGTATATGAGCTACCACTTGAGTTCAAAAGCACATGGCAAGAAGAGTATTGAGGTTTTGATGGAAGAATTCTGTGCTGTCCATGCCTATAATGATAGCAAAAAACCAAAGGCCAACTATAAGCTTCATTGAGTCAATTTGCAACAAAATTACATAGCATCCACAGAAGCAACTGGAAAGGAGATGCAGGAATACCAAGACCTGATAATTGTGAAGTTTCTGTGTCTCAACTTTCTTCCCTTCAGTATTGTGAAAAGAGAAGCTTTTTGTTACCTAGTAGTTAAGTCCTAAATCCACCACACAAAGCCCAGAGAAAAGTGTGCATTATTGGAGAACTAAAGGGACACGATATCTTACTTACCCTTGCTGAGGACATCTACTGACACTGCTGCAAACATGAATTTCCTTGGGCTGTTGCTGCAGGACAAGGGCACTCATCATACTTATTGTGCTGACCACAAAATGCATAACACTTCTAATGAGGCTTATGATGTCAAAGATTCAAAAGAAATATTTGGTAAAACAACACTTCCTGATGGCTAATAGTAACTCTAGTAGTAGTACTAATAATTTTACTAGTTCAAAGGTACTACTACATAGTAGGACTACTAGTCATTCTACGATTCATCTTAGGATTTGGTGGGAGTGACTCGTTTGATCATTCATATTTCTTCTTAGTAAAAGAGACAGTGGTGAAGGATAAGGGTATTCTCTAGCTGTGAAATAGATTTATGGACTACTAGAATTGTCACAAATAGTAGGAAAAAGTGCATCACTACTAGTAGGGGTTGTGGGACTCTGAACAACCAAATTGCTAATTGCTGTACATGAGAAGTTCTCACTGCTGCTACATCTGAAGTAGTACAGTTGTTTGTGGTGTGGTAGTACATTTCTACCTCATATTTCATAGGCTACCCATGGTCAATAATGTTTTGTTTATTGACACCATTTTTAGTACATAAATATCTTATGAATTCTATAGTTGTTGGTATTTCCCTGAGGAGTACCAAATACAGCATACAAGTTGTCCAACTAATTGAAAATAAATGTTAAATAAAACATAAATGACCTATTCTTCTGGTTAATTCCTTCTAACCTGCTCGTTGATCTTCTAGCTATGGAAAACTCTTCAATTTCCATAAATTGCTGATTTGTTTTCAAGGATTTAAAATAACAAGAATAAATCGAAGTAATGGAACAAACATAGAAAATTGTTCATCTGGCTCCTACCAAGCATTGAGCATGACAATTGATTGGACATAACATAACCCTATTTGCAACAAAGGTTCTATTGATTGAGAACCCTCATTTATACTAGTAATAAGTATACTTCAGATTGGAAACAACAACTACTACACTTCAGAATAGTTTGTCATATGTCCTGTCTTCCCCTTCCAAAAGTTTGGGGACACACCAGTTATCCAAAATCTAATGAAAATTTCATCCTGTATGTTGCTGACTTGAATTGCTTTAAAAAAACCGGTGCCCAAGTATTATATTATATTGATGACATTTTCTTAGCTACTACTGAGCAATAAGAACAAATACTAAGAGGTAGATGGTTATGTATAAACAGGCATTAGTAGTAGTTGGTTTTATTTGCTTACTGAATAATCAGCTAGACTACTACAATGCCCACAAGGCTAGTACTAGCAAGAACTCAATACAGAATATTAAACCACAAGGGAAACCATCAGGTTGTTCAGGGTAAGGATGTCATGCACGGAGATTACTGCTACTCCTCCTACTACTAGTACCAGCAGTGGTCAGCAAAACAAAACAATGAACAACAAATATTGGTTGAATGTCCTACTCTTGATTCTTAGAGATTGTATTTGTAACTAGTAGTTTGACAACCACTAGTATTATTATTATTGTAGTACTGATGCATCTCATCTGTGTAAAAAAAATATTAGGGTACTAGTACTAGTAGTACTAGTACTAGTACTACCAGTATCATTGCTTGCTGAAAGGCAGAGTGTATTTTCTGTCTCACAGAGAGTGATGCTAATGGAACCTCCCTTGTGCACAGTATCCATCCAGACTCCAAACTTCCAGTATTCACTTCTTTACTTCTTAGAGGACAATCAGAATGAAATTGTTAATCTTCTGGTGGTGGAACATGCTGTTTCAGAGTTGCATGCCACTATGTGTATGTTTCATGACTTTTAGCAGTGCCAGAAGTGTGATGGGGAATACAACATTAAATTTAAATAATCAACATACTTGGTTATTGATAGAGTGCTTCTTATGATTCTTCTCTGAAATACAAACAGTAGTACCTGTGCTACTACCTGCATGGGTGGCGTATATAATATTGAAATGCTAATGGTAAAAGAAATACAACTAGTACTACTACCACCTCACAAATGAACAGGATTCCTCCACTGCTGACGAAGGTTCATAAAGTTGAAGGCCCATTATCAATGAAAATCACCCCTTACTGGCTACTAGTAATTGCGTTTCTTACCATTCCTATTTCTTATTTACTTTTGTGAAAAAAACCTCTGACTGATAAAAACATGTAAATAATTGATCCCCAATCTTAATGTTCCCAAACTAATCTGGAGGTCCCCAACCATAATGTAGTTTTCAAATATTCTGGTGACCCAATTCTGTTGGCACAGAACCAATTCTACTTCTTGCTCAGCAAGCAAGTCATTTGCAAACCATGTTGAAAGTCTGGATGTTGAAAGTTTGGGGTCTAAACTCTGTAGTACTAGAGCTCCTCTGTTGAATTTTTCAATGTTGGAATCATTAAATTAATGTTATGAACACCAAAATAAATTTTTGAAACCTCTGTATAAGTGCAGTGCTCAATTGTTTACTTACTAATTGTACTAGAGCTATGTGGTGTGTTATTAAAGAGAACCTCTTACTACTACTGGTGTGTTTGCAGTCTAGCACTACTACAACTCCTTCTGTGCAGCATTGGTACTACCACCACCAGTAATACAAGTATTTGTCGGTACTGGTCATGAGTTCTCAGAAAAAAAAACAAATTCTCTATTTAAGCACCAACTACTGGGAATCTTTTGCTGGTGGCTTTTGATATGTGTAGAGCAGAAGCCTCAGCATAATATTACTGGTGGCGTCCTCTTTGGCTTCATTAATCCCCCAGCATGCTGGGGATCAAAATTACTACAAGAAGTTGCAGGACCATTTATACTAGCAGTACATCTACTACTACTAGTGGTGGTTTTGTTATTGGTTTCATTCTTTCTACTATTGGGCTAATTTCAGTTTTGTTTTTGCCTAGAAGGTGGTGGTGCTGGTGCTGGTCTGCTACTAGTACTACTACTAGTACTACTACTAGTACTACTATTACACCAAAAGCAATAAGTTTTTGGCATACAAGTTCTCAACTCTTCCTGATTTTGCCAAGAATCACTATGAGCACTACTAATAGTAGAATAGTAATCTGCGCATCACAAAGATTTTCTTGTTGTTGTTGTGCCTCATCCTTGTCCTCTGTTGGTGTATTTTTGCAAAAACAAGAAGCAAGAACAAGAAGATGAAGAATGCTAAGAAGAATGCACATGACCACCATTGATCCCTTGTATTTTTCTTGTAGCTTCAACCAGCCTGTTATTTTTTGATTTATTAGCTGCTTTGATGCCACTTGGAATGAGGGACTAGATTGGCATCCAGCACTTTTGATTACGACAACTAAATTTATTTCCAAAGATTTGTTCTAATTATTATTGATGCAATGCAATCAACTAAGGAATGATTATAACTTATGTAAGTTTACATTAAATTGTAACGACACCGTGGCCGAGCGGTTAAGGCGATCGACTAGAAATCGATTGGGTTTATCCCGCGTAGGTTCGAGTCCTGCCGGTGTCGTGCGTACGCAAGGTACGCGGCACACGTTGTCGACTTGGTCTAGGGGCATGATTCTTCCTTAGGGTGGAAGAGGTCCCGGGTTCGATTCCCGGAGTCGACCTTTTTGCTGCGGTTGGAAATGATTGTGATAGTGCTTGTACGCCTCAACATTTGACGCCCAAGGTTTTTCCTTACTATTGAATTGTAGTTTTTATTAAAAAAAGTCTTAATATTAAATTTAACCTCGTGAACTAGAAGAGGCACTATATGGCCAGAACCATAGCTCTTGTTGGAAAGTATGCTTCACTTACTATCACATGGTCACTACTACTACTATGATGTGATACTACGCGTTGCGGATCAATCGAAACTGAGTGACGTAATAAAATGACATTTGGAAAGTTTGGTTTGGATAAGATTTTCATATTGCGATTCAATACAAATTCAAAGTGTGGTACTTCTAATAGCGAAATGCAACTAATGATTAAAAATGATGCTTCACTATTTCTGGTATGTTTAATGAAATAGTATTCTACTACAAGTATGTTGTAATTGCTGTCCAATAATACCTTCGTTCCGGCTTTGGCATTTGATTTCCAATTTGTGTTTCATGCATCTCGGTAAGCTAACAATACCTAGCAAAAAATATCGGACTGTGCTCTGGCCCTCTACAAATGTCATTTACTCGCAGCAATAGCTACGGCTTTGTCGTGTTCTTTCGCTCTGTTCCACAAGCATTCATTCCAAACGTCAAAGGACCACAAGCGTATCTTGGAAGGTCCGTGCTCCGCCATTACTTGCAAGGGCTGGCCGTCCAGTATGTCTCCTAACTCGAGGGATCCCATGACACTCCCCAGTTCAACGGTAAAATCTTGAAAGTTAAGCATGTGCTGCAAAAATTCAAATGTATAGATCTTTGAGGGATCCGTCTTCGGACACGGAGATTTTTGTACAAACAATTTATCGAAAGCTTTTTTGCGCATCTTGGCACGCTGGAGAGATGTGTCCGCTTTCAGAGCAGCCCCGATCAAAGACCGATGAGCTTCAATGGGTTCCTCATTGGTACCATCTAACGGATTATTTTTGTTGATACTGTTGAGTCCGTCGCTTAGACCGGAACAGCCGCTCATTTCCTTGTTTTTTTCGTTGTAAAGAACGTCGGCATCGTCGATCGTGATGCATTGGGGTGTGCTCCCTAGCGGTGTAAGCGAGTATGGCTGGTCCACACCCTCCAATTTGATATCAAGTTGGGGGGCAAAAAAACTAACAACCTTGAGTGCACTTTTCAAAACCCACTTCGATGGAAGCTTTCCAAATTTACGACGGAGTCGAAACCCGTTGTTCAACTCCGTGAAGGACAAGGTCTTTTTGAAGCGCCCCCGGATGCATACTTGATAACGACGGTTGACACCCGCAAAGTAACCCTTGGAGTCGTCATAAGGCTCGGGAGTTGTTCCATCAGAATGGCGCAAACGCAATAACAACGTCCCCTCGAACAATTCGCTCTCAAAGTCAGTGACAAGTGATTCTCCCGGTGCTTCGTTTCCATTGTTGATAGGCAGCATCACACATTCTTCGCAGGAGGCAAAGTGAGGAGATTGGTCTTCGCACTTTCTGCCCCATCGCTTAGCTAAACTTTGAGACCACGTCAAATGGGAGCCTGGGACCCACAGGGGCTCGTCGGAATTGCAAAGTCGGATTGCTTTTACTTTCGTACCGCTTCCTGGGGTTGGTCGAAGGGCAATGGGTGCCTGTGGCCAATCTTTAGGCTCGATTGCGGGCAAAAAGTTTGTAGCGCACCTGCATGGAAGTGGATTGATAGTATCATAAATAGTGGCGCTGTCCAAACTGTTGTCATTGGTAGAAATATTACGAACATTATCCTGACTGATAGTATGGGTAGGAGACGGACAGGAGGGATCAAATGTTCCAACATAGACTAAGCTGGCCTGCTCGTATCGTCTCTTGTTTTGGGACATATTGGCATAGAGGCTTCTAGAAGAGTTCTTTCGGTCCTTCCGATTCATTCTCGATTGCTGGAAACCGGCTGGGGAAATCAACTCATTCAAGTTTCCGCGTGGCGAAGAGGAGGAGCTCGGGTTCTGCGGCCGGTTGAGGGTTCCGAACGAAGGGTTATGTCTTTGAAGTATTATTTCAGTGGTACAGTTCTCGTCACTGCCATCGTGTTCGTCGTCCCATAGATTCAGGCCATCCTCTAATTGCGAGGCAAAAATGCATTCGATGGATTCTTGCACCGTGGGATCCTCTGAAATGGGTCCCATGGAATCACAGTATGAGTAATCGAGGTTGCTCTGTTGACCAAGCGTATCATTCATGAGGTTTCCTTGTCTACTCTCACTGCCATAATTTGTGGCACTCATTAATTTCCTATTGGACTCCTCGAAGACAAGGTTACTCATGTCGCTGTTGTGAAGCTCCCCCATGGAAACGCCACAGATCGATTCCATTGAAAAGGAATGGTGGAATATGGATGTTGCGTTACAGCTCACACTTCGGATCATCGCATCGGCAGGCTTTCCTACGCTTTCTTCTTCAAGCTCCGTCCGCCTCCGTCTATTCTTCGAAGCGGTAGGAGACACCGACTTTGCAACGATCGATATACGTTCTGGCATTTCAGTATCATTGTTCGTTTTAGGATTCAGTTCCACGCTGCTTCTCGAACTGCTGCTTATATTATCATTGTTGCTGTTGTCTTGGCAACAACTACCATCGGATGTATCGCGTTCCTTGAACTTGTTGCCGTAGAGATGACTCGAGCTACGCAATCGCTGCCGGAGTATCGKGGGAGACGAAAGAACCCGTTTCAGAAACAAGATGCTGGATCTCGACTTTCGGCTAGTACTGTTTGAAGTTTGGACCGAAGCGGTCGGAGAACAAACCACCTGATTCCCATTCAATGCCTTCGTGGGCTTCTCGTTGGAAACACTGCCGGTTGTAGCGTAGTATTGCGAATCACTCTTCCTCCTCCGTTCGTCTCTACGTCGCTGCTGTTTCTTCAACTTCTTCAACTCTTTCCGTTGTTTCTGCCTGGAGGGGGTCGTTCCATTATCACTGATCGTAGAAGATAATCGGGAGAGTAGAGAAGGCTTTCTGAAAAGACGGGTAGGAGTCGTGATACGAGTGTCAAAGTCTTCATCCTGTACGGACACATGCAGTTGGTCGTGAAGGGCTGTTTTGGGAGCTGGCGATCCAGCTGTTGTCGAAGAGGAATAAACTGAAGGAGATGCTATTGCTTCCTGGGGGATGGGAGCGCCACTATACCTCTTTATCAGACCCTTCACTTTTGGACTCGTGGCACCTTTACCAGCACTCATTGTGCTGGATTCTTCCTCGTTTTCCGCCAAATACTTGAGGGGTAAATTCGAGGATCGACTTCTCCGAGGAGATCCCATATCTTATTCAGCTATCGTTCTCCCTCTGTTCCTCGCTTGTCTGACCCCTTGCCCCTGAGTCGACTCCCAAAGTTTGTTAGGTACTCACACGTCTATTACCGAACGCCAAACCTTTTGAACGTCTGAGGGAACACAGGTTGCGAGTGCCAGAAACCTTGAGAGCACGAAAATTTCGGTTTCTAAAAAAGGCGTTAGGGTACGGTTACAATTACGGCATTACGGCATTAGAGGAGTACGAGTACGACGGGATCAATAGGAAAACGAATACGTACCCGTAATCATGCTCTCGGAGGATGAAATTATTCCTACTGTTCAATACGAATAAAATAATCGATCGCACAGAAACCATACCGGTAGACTGTATGGGACGTACGGTACGTGCAGTCGTACATTTCCCCATGTCATCGACGGCACGGCGACGCGACGCCCCGTGCTTGATAATTTAAAATTAGGATTCCGAAATGGAACATTTTTCTCTCGAAGGAATAGCACGGGTCACTCCAATATTCTTCGATAAAAGTTGACAGTTTGAACGTTTATTCACGAGCGTGCCTTCCAACCAGGAAAGGTCAACCTGCTAAGAATTGCAAGAAGCAAATGACTCGAAATAAATAAGACCTCAACCAACTACTGTACTTCCTACTACGTACCGTACGTAGGTGTGGTCAGGGGTCATAAATTTAGAGGGGTGCGCAACGCATCGAAACTCATATTCCATCTGTGGTACCAATAAGAAAATTTTACCCCCAGGGATTTTTTTCAATTTCATTTTTACTCCATATCACTGCAAAAAGTGTACCTGAAAGACCCCATGCACAGGAACACTTCTAATCACTCTCTAATTGTCAAACTTCACATACACATCTCTCACATAGTTGAGAGGCAAGTAGTAAGTATATTTTCACTGTTATTGCTGTCTGCAGTTTAAACATTAAGGTGCTGACACAGGGCTGGTGATAGTAACAGGCTAGTACAGACTAGTACTGTATTTACAGTACTAGAAATAATCTGTCCTTTGTCCAGTCAGTCCCAACAGTCTAGTCCTTGGCAAAAATTCGAACTGTCTGTCCTTCATCCGTTTGTCCCACTAATTCCCCAGTAGTACTAATTTCTACTAATAATCTAGTCAATATTCAACAGTGGAAAGGTACACTATCATTCCATTTGACACTGAAAATATTGGCATATTCAGAATCCTCATGAAAAACTGAGTTATACAAAGTACTCAAAAATTTCAATGGTAGGATTTTTGATAATGTTGTTACTGCTTAAAGGTTGGGTAGATTTACTAGTATTATGCAGTAAAAATGAAATTGAAAAAATCCCTGGGGATAAAATTTTCTTATTGCTGGTACCACAGATGGAATAGATTTTTTTTTCATGCTGATGCTGAAAAACGTGCACGTTGCACACCCCTCTAAATTATCACCCATGGGTGTAGTAATGTACGTGTATGACCCGAAAATAAAGTACAGTATTTTATTTTTATTTTTTACTACTACGTACTATCGTATCCCTAATTATTGCATATTTCTACACGGTGCTTTGTAAATAGAAGTACGGTACGACGAGTACGTGCCTTACTGTACACAGCTGTTCATTTTGGCCAAAAATCAAAAATGTCATTTTACGTCAATTTTGGCATTATTTTAGAGTTAGGGATAAAAATAAGAATCAAGCAATCTGATTGGCTAATAATAAGGATTGGGATTACGAAGTTTCACGCAAGTGTGAAGAAAGAGCAATTTTCCTTTGTTTTGACTACTTCGATTTAATCATAGAATTTCATTCAGAGTGAAAATAGATTGAATTTTTGTGTTTTGACTACTACTAGTTAGAATAGTATGTTTTTTTTTGACAAGTTTGAATAAGATTAATCCAAACTCTAAATTAACACCAAACCTGCAGCAAAATGACACTGTGAATAGCTGTGTGTATTGATTTTCCATTTTCTTACAGTTTATCCAACCTGGCTACTGGCTGCTCCTTGCTGGCAATCAATCTACAGTCAATGTGATATGCACCAATCCAAGGCTACTCACCAATATCAGACAATCCAACAAGCACATGACAATGTGCTGTAATGCCAACAGCTAAATGGATCAGGGAGCTGTCAGGAATGGGAACAGTTTGGCACCACTACTAAGAAGGAGGAATTGGCAATATCCTATCATTGGCACACCAGATGAAGAAGCATCAGCAGGTCACCTATGATATTCCACAAGCCCAGTAGAGGCCTGTATTACAGTGACATGAAGAGGGAGTCATTGATAGTGCTCCTTGGAAAAGGGATTACTGTTGTGAAAGACAACAACAAGGCAGCAGTTCTCTGCTCTTAACCAGCACCAAGAAGCAAAAAAGGCCCATAAGATGCAGAATATACATAAAATCATAACAAAGGGAATGCTGAGTGCACTGAGACTGATAGACAAAAACTATTAAGAACTGCACAGTCACAAGGGCTGACATTAAAACAGCAGAAGAGATATATGGACCCAGCATGGCGGGTCTCAAAGGAAAGACAGTAAGAAGATCTGAACACCAGTGCAGGCAGATGTAGAACAGGAGGTACCAGGGAATATATTGCCACAATACTCATGCATGGAGGTTGGAGCTGATATCATGTATGTAAATGGGATTAGATTCTTTATTACTATATCCTGTACCTACAGTTTGGAATGGTTGAGATGTTAATAAATGCAAAGGCCAGGACTCTAGTAGCACACCAGCAGTGCCTGCCCCACATCAAGCAAACATACTCAAGACCAGCATTGAAGAGCCGGGGATCACACCACCAAACTTTGCAGCCAAGGACAAGCATGCACCAGAGATAGAACCATACATAGTACACATAATCAATGAGAGGGTCAGAGGTATCCAGTGCACATTTGGCTTTTATGAAGAAGTTGCTTGGAAGAGTGACAACTGAACTAGTCTCCAGCTAGGTACTCTGGTGGAACTCACTCCCAAAGGAGAGTGGGGTGTCAGCGTCAATGAACCCATGTGTAATAAAAACTCAATATGAGTTGGACTTTGCCAAGCATGTGAAGCTACAGTTTGGCAAGTATGGATAGATCCACAAAGAAGGCACCAGCCATCAGTGGAATGTGGGAGCCCTTGCACTATGGCCAACCAGCAATGCATGGCTTCTACTTGTCAAGTCTCAAGACCAGTAGAGTACTCAATCACAATCAATGGACTTGGCTACCAATGCCAGCAGACACAATAGATAGAGTGCTGGTGCATGAACTTGCTTGCAACTATCCAGAAGGAGTAGAGTTATGTGATTGAAATGGGAACCCAATTCCACCAGATGTAGTGGATGAAGCAAATTCAACTGAGGGGGACCAGTCTGATGACGATGACTGTGACTACGTACACAACAGCAGCACTGTTGGGGACAATGGTGAGAATGAGCTTGAGTCAATGGGATTAGAAGACAACAATAAAGAAGAGGGAGAGGATAGTCATGGAGACGGTGACTCCAGCAGCTATGATACTACAGAAGTGGGAGAAAGAGAGGTTGAATACAGCATCCCAGGAGTGGTGGTGGAAGCTGGCTCTGCACATGAAGGCAAGGACAGCAATAGGCTTCTTACAGGAGTGGGTGAGGAAGACAGCAATGAGCAAACATGGGCCTCATACAATTATCTCAAGATGGTTGGGTACCTAAACAACCTCAAATTCTATTTGCGACAGGAACACCAAGGAGCTGGAAAACTGTGCACTTGTGATCCATTGCTCAAACAGTATGGATTCAAGGGTGGGCCAAAGATATTTTGTAAGTGGGGCTTCCCAGCAGCAGTAAAAAAAAGGAGCTCCAGAAATTGCACAATAGACAGGTTGCCAAGTCTGTGAGTGAGGCAGGGATGACCAAGAAGTAGATAGCCCAAACCCAAGTGTATCTGATATTCCTAGAGGAGAAACACAATGGGGATATTGAAGGACATGGATGTGCTGATGGAAGGAAGCAGCAAGACTGGATGACAAGGGAAGACACCACATGCCCTATTGTTTCAGTGTACTACTAGTAGTAGGGTCATATCAGTGACTAGACCCATTTGAGGCTAGATGGAGTCATGTTAAATTTGCTCATCAAAATATAACAAGAGCTGTACAGCAGCAAACATGTTCAGACTGATAGGAAGGGTCAAAATACCTGCACATGGAGTACTGCAAGTTAATCTATGGAACATTAAATGCAGCACTACTGTTTTGGATGAAGGAGCTCAGCAACAACCTTTGATCATGGGGGTTCAAGGTGAACATATCATATGACTGGTGGTGTGTGATGAAAAACATGGTCAATGGGAAGCAGTGTACTATCAAAGTATCTCATGTGGAAAAAAGTGTGGTGGGCTCAGTACTTGACAAAATAGACAAGAAGTACGATGGCTGGGTGAGCCCATTGGTCAAAATCCAAGGGAAGATATATGAATACTTCGATGGAGAGCATCATACAAGATTTGCTGGTCTTTGATGCCTACTACTCCAAAAAGAAATGTCACAAACAGCCTGCAGTGCCTGATACTTCTTTGGCGAATTCTGTCCCTCTTTCCGGTTCCCTGCAAACCAAATTAACCCAATTCTTTTAAAACCAGCAAAACCACCCCTTGTCATGTCTCCATCAATACTCCTTGGAGGGAGGCACTGCCCCTCAGAGCAACTAGGAGCATTTTCCCCCACAGAAGTTTTGGCTCTGGCCCACATAGTGCCTCTTCTAGATGAAGAGGTTAAATATACTATTAATTTTTTTTACTTCAGCATGACTATTGATTTTACAACCATAGGAAAAGTGATGTTCACCATGTTTGGCTATATTGAGAACTTGCTGACTGAGCTTACTGATGACCTTTCTTCAAAGGGAGAGTTTGTAACCCTAGTACTAGCAGGGGATTACTTGTTTCAAGAAGTGAACCAGGAGGATCCAGAGCGCCTTGATGGTGGCAAGGGTGGGGTTGTGTTCCACATGAACATAGAAAAGGAAGCTGCTCTTCCTCATAATAAAGAGGGCAAGGCCTGACATCCAACTCCACATGGTGTTCCTTGTAGTAGTAGTAGTAGTAGTAGTAGTAGTAGTAGTATGTAGCACCAGCAGGATGTGATCCCTGCTGGGTAGTAATAGTAGTAGTACTATTACTAGTAGTGTACCACTAGCTAGTAAGGATGATTGGAAGAAACTGGACCAAGTCATGCATTATCTGAGGGAACAACTTGCCTACCATCATTATTCTTTTTCTTCCTATTTTGTTCAGTTAACAGAGAGAGTCGACACTTTTAGTAGACTTCCCAGCACTACTTCTGCCAATTGGGTGGTTAATGTGTGGGTTCAGCATATTAGTACGAGTAATGTATTGCAATCCGACAAACAAATCATCTCCAGTGCTGTCATCTAATCATCCAAATGTGGATACTCGTACGCTCGAAAAAGCATGGAAACTCGAGTTCCTACATAAAAAGATTAGGCACCATACTATTTGTTTTGGAGCCCACCAAAGGTCAATTCGATTACTGATTCATACGATTCAGTACCATGGATTATCAAAACTCGAACAGAAGCGATCAGGAGAAGTCCAAAAAGAAAAAAAGGGACAAGAAGAAAAAAAAGAGAACAAAGAAGGATGGGGAGTGGCCTAATGGTCAAGAAGCAAACTTGCGGGATCCAGCACGTGGTGTAGCAGGTGCAGCAACGCCCGTGCCTTTGGAAGCTTCTGCTCAGAAACCAGCTCCCGAGCTACAACCACCGGGATCACATCCCTTTCCAGTAGACGATTCCGACCACTGCGAAACCCCCCTTCAGGCCTACAAGGACCTCGAAGCCGTCCTCGATCGGTTGCTCTGGATTGATGATGGCAGCAACCAACGAAAAAAGAAAAGGCCACGTTCCGAACTGACAATCTACGATCCCTATTACTGCGACGGAGGCGTCAAAACGAAGTTGGCGTCCATGGGATTCACAAACGTGATAAATCGCAACCGAGATTTTTATCGGGATATCGAGTCCGGAGAGATTCCTGACTATGACGTTTTGGTGACCAACCCACCCTATTCCGGAATGCATATGGAACGCATCCTCGATTTTTGCCGCCAGCAGTCGGAATGCCAGCCCAACAAGAAGAAGAAAAAATGCTTCTTTTTGCTCCTCCCTCACTTTGTGTACACCAAAGATTATTACCAGAGGGCGCTCTCATCAAACTTGATCGAGAATTCAAAGACGAATCCTTTTTTCTATTTCTTGGTCCCCGAGATCCGGTACGCCTACATTCCCCCGGCATGGGTGGCGGAACGAAGCGGGGCCAGCAAGGCCTTGGTGAAGGGCAAGGAGACTACGGCACCCTTTCCTAGTTTTTGGTACTGCCATGGACCCTCAACGTCGATCCAGCAGCAGCAAATCCATCACCACGACGAAGCTTGGCTGCGCGAAACGTTTGGACCGAGCGGCTCCTTCCGTTCCAAGCACGGGCCCTCGCGGCTGCGCTACGCCCGGGTGGCGGAGGATATTCCACGGGATTTCAAGGGGGAATTCGATGCCACAAAAAAACGGCCCAATCCCCGTGCCCGAAAGCGACAGCGGCAAAAACAGTACCAGCAGGCTCGATCGCTGCCATCACCGGCAGCGAAGGCACAGCAGCAGCCCAAGAAGAAAAAGAAACGGCGGTATTGAAGACTATTTGGGACCAACGCAACAGAGCGGCAGTATTGCCTTTCTTAACGTGTAGGGATCAAATTTTTCGCTCAAAACCACGTAGTGGTATTTTCCATTCACTTTTTGCAAGTCTACGGAAAATGGTAGAATGTGAGAATCCGATTACAATACAACATGGCCAGTCACTCGTGTGTGCTTACAATCCGTGTTTTTTGTCAATTCTATTGCGTCGTGACATGTATGGAAAATTTACGGTTGTTATTCGATGAAAATGATGACATGCAGTACCTCCTCATGACTATAGCCATGCAGCTCAAAGGCATGATTATTCTGATAAACCAAACTTACGCTTCTATTATGATGCGAATTATTGGCAAGTGCGCTACGAGAAAGAAGTACAGTACTTCATAGAGGTTGTATCTTACTTTCAAATAGTGTAATAGAAAGCTATGTTTGTCCGGTTCGCCATTCAAAAGAATGAATGTAGCGTTCCCTTCTACACCTCACAAGCACGCCGTACTAGTTAAATCTGGAGAAGAGAATTATGTGTCGGATCCTTTTCCATCTAGAGTCTCTATACAGGATATCACGATCCAGAGCATTCCACAGACCCACTTGATGAAGAGAAAGTCTACAACTTACATACTCATAAAATACATACTCGAATAAGATCCATGCTGTCCATCGTCCATCATGCGTACACGCATGCCATCCCAATCGATGTGTGTTTCTTCTACCGGTTCGTTTCATCCTTTCAATGTACTGTTTGGTTGTGTCTTTTCAACCTCACGCGTGTGGTTGGCATAAATGGAGACAGGTAGGCACGTATGCGGGATGATTCAAGCCGACTTGTTCGCTTTATGAACCGGTTCATACGTTATGTGCCTATCGCACAAGTTTTCTGATTTGTTCAGAGATTGTCCAAATAGACCTGGGCACCCCATCGAATGTCGTCGCCGTAGTCGGCTTTTTTTCCGGCTTGCAAAATGGCAGAGTTGGTTCCGGCCGCATCGCTGCTCGCAGCAGGAGGAATCGGTTTGGCGTCTATCGCAGCCTTTTGGTCTCCACTATTTTTGGTATTGTCGTTTAAGTGGTCCAGGTATCCACCGTACAAAGGATGTTTGTATCCTGTCCATCCAGCTCCAAAGTGTGCTTTTGAGTAGTGCTCGTCCGGTATTTCGGTTGTTGTGTCCTCTTCCGGAGCTGTTCCCTGCATAGTCGGTGGTGGAATCTCAGTTGACTTGGGCGTAAGAGAATCGAGATAGTTCGAGTTGGCTTTCCTTCCGCTACCTTTTTGTTTCTGGAATCCTCTGACGTTTGTTGCGGCAAAAATGAGGACGACCAATAGCAGTTGTTTACTGCTAGGAGACTTCATTGCAGTCACGTAGACGAGAAGGGGACCGATTCAGTCAAACCGATGGAAGGCCAAGAACGAAAGTTGTACAAAAGAAGTGGTGTCAACGTTTGGTGTGCTTTTAGAGGGATGTTCTCCGGGAGTTTTTTCTGAAAAGTTTTTCGCGTGCATACCAACTAATTGTTTCATGCCGAGATCAAGATGGACAGAATAGGAAGTTCTACCATGCCGCAGGTATAAAATTGTCGACTCCGGGTCCAGCAGATGGATCCTGAATCATCATCATCATCATCATCAACAACAGCAACATCTGCAATCAACATCATCGCAGCAGAAAAATCTGAGGAATACCGTTTTGCACATACGTACTTGCTGTATCACGGCATTGGGTGAATCCCGGAATCTTTAACTTTTTCCAGTCTCCGCCCAAATCGTGCATTTTTTGGAATTTTTTTTTTAGTTTCCATGATTTTCACTTGTGTAGATAGACTGCAGTACAAATCCTACACAAAATAAGACTGAAATACCAAAAAGAGTTTTAAACAATTACTTCATATAAAACACCTTTTCTGCTCATTCATTTCTCTGCTTGTAATATCCAACCAAGAAAATATAAAACACTCCATACCAAAATATAAACTATAAACCAAACCATCATATTTACCAACATAAAATAATCATATTAATAAGATGCATGATGATGATTCTTTTTCTGCTGGTGTGTGATGGTTGACAACAATTGTTCGTACTACCGCATGGTCATACTCCTAAGAATGATGCAGACCTATCTGACAACAGTGGTGATGGCCTGCACCCTTATAGTACTAGTAGGAGCCCCACCCAAGATGACCATGGATCCATATCTGATCATCAAAAAGTATGCTGGTGGGTGTCCCTTGGTATCCTCCTTCCAATGTCCACCAGTACCACCCCAGGTCACGCCCGTGCTGTAAGCAATTCATTTGATGGCTGCACTAATAAGGTGGAGGGGTTGGAGCATTTGTTCTTGTTCTTGTTTGATGAAAACATCCTTCAGATGATTGTAGCAAATGATTCCAACTGGTATGCATTTGAAGATTGGGTGGTGACAGAAGTTGAAGCTGCTGATGCTAGCTAATGGAAGGGTAAAGAAGACAAAGATTCTCAAGCTCTGTGATGTCACCAATCCCAAGAAACAAAAGTGTGTTCTACATTCAGTCAAAGACCAATGAAACTTCATTTCTGGTTACTACATCCTTGCCTGGCTTGGTATTTGCATCTGCTATCATGGAGGTTTGGGCGGTTCAAAAGAATCTCCCCAAATTCTTCGGACTTGTCTTGAGGATGGTGATGTGTATGTTCCMATGGTGAGGAATACAATGAGCAAGAACAGCTGTGGCTTTGTTAAATGATATACTCATTTTGGTGACAACAGAAGCAAAGCTAATGATACTGATAACACTCTACAAAATCCGTACTGTGATGGAGAAAATTGCTGATTGTCTTYRTCTTGGGTGGCATGCAAATATTGACCTATCTGTTGATGAGTCTATGATTGTTTACAAAGGAAGATGCATTCAATTTGTCYAGTATCTTCCCAAGAAGCCAATCAAACATGGTATTAAGGTGTACTGTGTGTATGATGTTGACACTGGGAACTTAATTGCATTTGAGATCTACACTGGTATTACTAGTAGTGGGTCTACATGGGATACTATTCAGCAGTTGGTACGTCAATCCAATCTTGGACAACAAAATGGTCGTCGACTGTTCACAGACAACTTCTACACTACAATGAAAGTTGTGACCACCAAGAAGCTATATGAAGAATACAGATGGGTATCAGATGGTACCTTTGTATTTTCTTCTGGTTGCTTGATAGAGTGGTACACTCCTGCTACATAATTATCACTAGTAGCCTAGCATGTGACAAGTTTATGAAGAAGGAATAGAAGATATACAAATTAAAACAAGTTTCAATCTCATCTTGGCATTGGTGCATTGATGAATAGAGGTATTGAAATGGACTGGAAGGCTCCATACTATGATGAAGGTTCTAAGCCAGAGTGGATGCCTCAGACTTCAAAGAATGGAAAATATCACCCTTGCTATTGCGGGATTTGTTCTTTCTTGTTCTGTGTGAACAACAGCAAGAAGAAGACAAGCACCATTGCTCATGGAAAGGTAATGTCAAAGCCACATAAAGAAAGATGCAGTGGAAAGTATGAAGGAGTGAAGAGGAACTATTGTGTTATCTGTGTAGAAGAAGCAAAGCTTAGGTATCCTAACTCATCAGTGAAGAGATTGAGGAAGTTGCCAGCAGCATCATGGTGGATTAGTAGAAAAGAAATGTCAAGGAATGGTTGCAGAAGTTGCAATGTTGCTGTATGTAAAGAGCATTGGAGTAACTTCAACCATCAAGTGTAGTGATGTGTTATAAATGAATATATTTATATTTGTAAAAATATATTCTTATAATATTGTTTATAGTGATGAGAGGGGTGTGATAGTAAGTKGAGTAGTAGTGTAGTTTTTTTGGTGCACCAAAAAATCTAAACTATCAACACTGTTCTCAAAAGGAGCTGTTAATTTTCCTGATTCCAAATTAAGCTCATGCAGCAAGACATATCCTATTGGTATTAGTACACACGAATCTATCATGCATTCACATATATATTCCCGTTAAGTCATAGACACAACAAAGTATGCCAGCATAGATTCTAGTATGTTTACAGGAATCACCCATTTTCTTCACCACAAGAATTTTCTAAACAATTGCTCAGTGTGCTACTTCTTATTTGCTTACAACTGTAATTCCCAGCCAGTTCCTAAGCAAGAAGAGACAGCAAGACTATCCTCGTGTACTTCAAGAAAAGTAGAACTATTACTATTACTACTTGTTCTACTACTACTAGGTAGTATGGTGGTATTGCATGACCTAAAGAGCTACTACTACTAGTACAACTACTAGTACAACTACTAGTAGGCTACTAGACCAGTACAAAGTGTGCAAAGTACTTTCTTGTTGTGAAGTGACAAGAAGAAGAGGGAGGAGCAGCACCAATACTACTAGTAGTACTTGTGCATGGTTTGGGTTCTATATAGCTATGGTGTTCAATCTATCAGATTTGTATGAGTCATAATTGTGCAAGCTGATTTTAGTAATCAGCAGCAAGCAACAACCCGCCTTGCTTGCTACTGCTAGTACTGGTGCTAGCAAAGGACCAATCAGAGTTTGAGAATCTGTTACTAGTAGTAATAGTCAGAAAGGATTTTCTTTCTGGCTCAGTGTGAATTTTGTCAAGAAGAACCTTTTCAGGCCTGTAGATTTCATCTCTGTGCACAAAGTAGTATTCAAAAAACTATCATTCAATCATCCTCATCATAGTACTACTAGTAGCAAGCTATCACTCCTCTAATTCAACAGCAGCTTCTGAACTACCTCCACAAAAGACACAATCTATGTGATGTATATACAGGATCAATTTGTTACAATAAGAGGAAGAGGACATGGAAGGTTCAGATTGATTGACCAAGTGATTTAGAAGAAACAGAGCACCAGTAACAAGAACAACAACAGGAGTACTACTATCATGTCCTTGGTCTGCATCCAGCAATGGACACATGTAGTGTCTTTGGTCCACATACAGCGTCCTTGGTCCTCATCAAGCTTCTGTGTCCAGCATCCTCTTCTGTATAAAGCATCCTCCACACAGTTCTTCACATAGGCCTCTGTAGTAGAAATCCTACTGCTGAGGAATGTCTGTCAAGTGATCATACTAGTATACAGAACAACAACAACAACAACCTCATACTATTACTAGTAGTACTGTAGCTAGTATTTAGAGAAGCCTACCAACAGTAGATTTTGGAATGAAAAAGTTAGTAGTACTACTACTAGCTAGTAGTTAGTACTACTACTAGTAGTACAACTTCCTCTCCTCCTCCTCCTCCTCCTCCTCCTCCTACTACTACTACTACTACTACTACTACTACTACTACTACTACTACTACTACTACTACTACGTCACAAAAAGTGATTGCAACCTATCACGTGCCCTAGCATCCCTTTATTTTGTATTCCAAACCCCCCCCCTTTTTCCCCCTCCCCATCCCCCTCAGATTCACATGTTAATGGTCGCGTTTTTGTTTCGCAGTTATTCTGCGAGGTTGGGAGCATGATGTTGTCATTCAAGAAAGGTTGCGAGGGGTTGTTACATTGTGACAGGCACACATGTCTGTTTGACAAACAACCAGATTTTTCCGTTGTTCAACCATTTGTCAGTAGTAACAACTCCCAATCATCGTACTGGTTTTTTCTACACAAGCACTTAGTACAAAAATTTAGTATTCTTTTTACTCTTGCATGGATTGAAACAGAAACTGAAAACTGAAAACCGAAACTGATACAAAAACCTTCAACAAACTATTCATCTGTGCAAAGCAGTCCTGGATTATATCCCTTATGGGTACATCTTTAAGAACTTATAGACGTGTTCCTGCACGCTAAGAGGTCCACGATGTTGGTTTCCCGTCTTCATCTGTTGTGGTGTTTGAATTTCAGATTTGTACTACTACTGTTGTTCGGAGAAGGAAATTTTTGCCGCATTTCTCTTCTCCGAACCATCTCATAATACAGAAACATTGTCACTGTACTTCATTTCAAGTTACTTTTTCTAACTTATCCTCATTCCAAACAAACTCATCAAGATTCCCACCACCAGTTCTTATGACACCAAAATATCTGATATGCAAGTGGCCCTCTCCGAGGACAATATTCCCCGATTGAGAATGTTGGTAAATGATTTTGACGAGATTATGAAGAAATTGACAGAGATTTTGAGTTCAATTGAATCTCTCTTCTCACCCCTTGTGTCAGATGTGAAGACTTATATTCCATCATCCAAAAGCAATCACTCCTCAGTTGTTACATTCATGGAAAAGTTTACTATGCAGTCTTGCATGGAGGGTAATGTTCATTTAACGAATATGATCAAGTCCAACGTGGTAGATTTATCTCCGTTCCTATTACCTGACAACCCAGGGGATGAGAATGATCCTGTGAAGGTGCTCTGTTGTGTTCCTCCATTTTTGAAATCCTTCCATGTTCTCGAGGATGCTCTTTCCCAATTTCACCAACGTTTTGTTGGTCTGGAGACTTCCGTGCAGCCAATAGTGTCCCAGTTGGAGGAAATTTCTAATGACCCCAATTATATACTTGATTGGACCTCCCACTTTGTACAATTTTCATCAACAGTTCTAAGCCTTCGTGACAACTTGAATGCCCACTGGTTTCATGTCCCCCCTACCCCCAATGACGAATCTCTTCTTAGTACTTGTTGGAAAACCCAAGCAAATAAGTACAATCAAGAGATTGAAAATAAAATCAAAACCTTATTTTCTGACTTCGAAGCCGAACATGGTCCCACCAAGCGCCGCAAAGTCAACTCCCACCATCGTTGGTCATCAGATTCCCAAGATCTACTTCCATTTGCCAGATTGGCATCTGCACGTAAGAGTAGAAGGAAAGACAACTTAGAAATTACTGGTCTGATTCACATGTTCCAAGAACCCGCTAATCCAAAGATACGTGGCACAGGGAAAAAGCAGATCAAAGCCAAGAAATGTTACCAAAATAGAAAATGCGCTTTACAAGTGGAACACAACCTGAAGCAGTATTTTCCATTTTTTGACTTTTCACATATCTGCGTGCCTGAGGACCAGCCAAAACCTGAATTCAGGAATACACGTTTTGCAGTGAAGTGGGATGAACTGCTACGTGAGTGCCTGTTCAATGCCAAAGCGGCACTGAAGTTTTTTTGGATATACTGGTCTAAAACAGAAAAAGATTTTCAGTATAGGGATGGAATGGAGATCGAAATTGTGGATAATGTCATTTGGGATTTGGCAATCAAATACGAAAAAGAAACAAATGCATCTGTTTGTCCTCCCACCCAACTTGTGTCACATTTTTTTCATTTACTTGTGAAACATTTTAATGCAGTTTTTGAAATAACTGACATTGAGATCCCTGATCTTCCAAGCATTCGAGGAGAAGTTGTGGCCACAGATCCTGAAGGAAGTGATCGTGAGGACCCTACCTTCAGTATTACAGTGCCTTGTAATCACGTCCTTGGTGCACCTGATGTGAGTGGTGTTAGTGTTTTTCTTGATGGGTGACAATCCGGTATCACTCTTCTACCTTTATGTGTCTACCGTGCACGTGTTGATTACTGGTTTGTCAATTTCACAGTTTTTCATCCTCGATCCAGCTTCATGTACTGCTTCCCTTCAAGTACTGAAACTGATTATCCTGAGGCTCTAATCCTCCCTGTTGAACATGAAAAAAAGGCATCTGAGCTGAACAGCGGCCAGCAGCAAGATGTTTCAGCAGTCACAATGCAAGACATTGAAACAAAATTGAAACACATCACCAATACAAATGGCAATATTTTTGTCTATGCTGGATCATTTACCTGCCAAGACCCTGTCCATTGGTGGTTAGGGGAGGCCAAAAGGGAGGCCAACGAGGATACTAGTAGTAGTACTACTACTACTAGAAACAGGGAAGTTCTTGGAGCTGGGAACAACAAGAACAACATCCCAAAAAATATTAATATTAATAATGATGATGTTTACCCTCATGAACTAGTAAGAAGAGAGGCATTGCTGGGGTGGTGGCCAGGGCCACCATAAATCTGGGTGGTGGATAACAAATTGGTGGATAATAAATTTTCCTTTCTTGGTCTGGGGGGGAGGGAGGGTACCAAGTGATGTGATAACTTCTTTACTGCAAACGCATGTGAATTCATTTGCAAGAATTATTTCTTTGTTAATCAGAACACATATATTCATTTTCAACTCCTCCTCCCCCTAGTGGTAGTACTACTAGTACTAGTAGCCAATACTACTAGCAGTAGAGGTGCTACGAGACACGTATTTAGGGACGCACGAGGACCACGGCCGAAATGGAATGATTCGTTCGGATTCGAACTAGTCAAATCACGCTGTTTTTCGTGTTTGTGGTATTCCACCTGGAAACCAAACGGCAAGACAACGCAGACGCATCGAATCGAACAGTTGTAGACCAGAGTTAGAGGTGAAAAGAAGAAGTTGAAGAAGGAACAGGAACAACCGGTTCGTACGTGAAAGGAGATTTTCGGTGTACCGCTCCGTCCTTTTGCCATCAGGAGGTAGATATTCTCGACGGTCGAGAGGATAGCAGGTACGAACGACAACAAAAAACTCACGAAGAGTTTCAAAGAAGTCCATTATTTGGTTGGGGGAACGAGATCAGTACAATTGATCCACGAACAGAACTGACTGAGCTTCATTGTCGCATCGTATCCAATCGAATTCAATTGTATTTCGTACTTGCAAGTCTATCGGAATTGTTTGTAGCGAAGAGATACTAATATTCCGGTTTTCAACGTACTATTCAGGCAACAAACAAGAGCAGGATACACCACTTCAAAATGCGTTTCACCGTCATGACTGTCTTGGCAGCAGCATTAATGTGCAGGACCAGATATGCGATGGTACGTCTCGAGCGAAGGGGCGGATTGATAAATGGGCATACCAGGCAGTGAAATCAACGAGAGCGAGGAAAGGGACGAAACGAAACAAAATGACACAAAAAGAACGTGGACGAGATTATTCTTCTAGATTCGAATGAAAATTATTTTACGCTCACAAAATTCTGTACTACATTCCCTCTCCATTTCCATTTCCTGTTTGTGTTGCCATGCTTTGCCCGAAACAAACATGGTCTTGAACCTTTCGAATCGAATGGATCGGAATCTCTCTTTCTCAATGCACTTTTTGCAACTTCTCGTGTTGCGATTGACGCGGTACGTATCGATTTGCCCGCAATTCACGGACGATATCAACGCACTACGCAACAGGCCTTCATGCGGCCATCCTCCACGTTGAGTGGGCAAAAAGCAGTTCCTGCTGCCGCCGGTGCCGGACTGAGACGCCCTCGGCCCAAGGCCAACTCGGAATCCCTGTTTCGGCTGATTGATCAGCTTCAACAGGAGGAAGCCAAATTTTTGGACATTCGAAACGGAGCTCTTTACTCGGCAACTGCCTCGGAAACTGAAACGGCTGGTGCCATCGGCAATGAACCGCAGCTGCCTCCGACCTTTCCGCTGGCCGGAAAGAACGTGATGGATGTCCCACCTCGGTTGCGATTTGCTCCCTCCCCCACTGGTAGTCTTCACGTAGGAGGAGCCAGAACGGCCCTCTACAACTGGTTGCTTGCGAAAAAGGGCCAGCTAGACTTTCCCGGGAGCGAATCTGCCTTTGTTTTGCGTGTCGAAGACACGGATTTGGCCCGATCGACCAAGGAATCCGAACAATCTGTCCTTGAAGATCTTAAATGGCTTGGAATGATTTGGGACGAGGGTCCCGCGGACGTCATTGATTGCTCCGGATACGGACCATTCCGCCAATCCGAACGTAGCAACATTTACATCCAGGCTGCCGAAAAATTGTTGCAAGAAGGGAAGGCCTACCGCTGTTTCTGCACCAACGAGGAACTCGAGGAAATGAGGGCCCAGCAAGAGGCCGCCGGAATTCCTCCTCGGTACGACGGGCGATGGAGAGATGCCCCCGAAGAGGAAATCAACAAGATGCTTGACGCGGGGAAGCCTTACACCGTTCGATTCAAGGTCCCCGAGGGATCCCGAGTCGTCATTGACGATGCTGTTCGTGGAACCGTGGCATGGGATGCCGAAGCAACCGTTGGAGATTTTATTCTGCTCCGATCGAACGGGGTTCCGGTCTACAACTTTTGCGTCGCCGTCGATGATGCCCTCATGGGAATTTCCACCGTCGTTCGTGCTGAAGAGCACTTGACCAACACGGTTCGACAAGGATTGGTGTTGGATTCCCTCGGTGCCCCCCGTCCCCAATACGCCCATTGTTCGCTGATTTTGGGAGAAGACAAACAAAAGTTATCAAAGCGGCACGGGGCTACATCGTGCAACCAGTTTCGATTGGATGGATTTTTGCCGGACGCCATGATCAACTATTTGGCGTTGCTTGGATGGAACGACGGAACAGACAACGAAATTTTCACCCGTGACGAACTGATCGAAGCCTTTGAGTTGGATCGTGTCGTCAAGTCCCCCTCCGTTTTCGATATGGAAAAGTTGCGTTGGGTCAATCAACAGCACATGAAAATGGTTCCTCTCGAAGACATTGTCGAACTTGTGAAGGACCAATTCGAATTCCAGGATATCCTCAAGGACGGTGCGACCAAGTCCGATCTGGCCCTGGTTGACATGGCCTTTGCCACTACCACATTGGCGCGGGAACGAATGCAAACCACACAGGATGCTGTCCTGAATGCCAAAACGGTGTTGGGATATGGTTTGCCTTCTACTTTTGACGAGATCAAGGATCCCGAGGCCAAATCTATGATTGAGCAAGGAAACTTTTACAACCTTGCCCAACGGATACTCACCGAATACGACGCTGGAGACTTCCCCCTACCAAATGCAGAAAACCCGATGGAAACATTCCAAGAAGACAAGTGCGCATTCACTCAAACTTACCAAGGACACATGAAGAAAATGGCAAAGGAAAACGGTGTGAAGGGAAAGAATTTGTTCCATCCAGTTAGACTAGCACTCACTGGTGAGATGAGTGGACAAGATGTCACCAAACAACTCGCATTGCTAACGTTGGCCACAAACGAAAACAGCGTTGTCGATGCCGAAAAGGCCGGAATTGTACCTGTTGCCGAACGTATGGAGAAACTGAAATCATTTTGCGAAAGCATTCCCGAAGAATTCCGTCAACCCAAGGCCAAAGAAACGAAACAAAATGCCGAGAAGTCCGTTGCTGCTGATACTCCCGCTGCGACATCTTCTCCTGCAGACGGTGCCGTCAAGGACCCCAAGGACGACTATGAGGGACCCCCCATCACTGCTCTGGACATTCGGGTTGGAAAGATCACCAAGGTCGAAAAGCACCCAGAAGCGGACAAATTGTATATCGAAGAAATCGATGTTGGCGAAGACGAGCCCCGAACCATTGCGTCCGGTCTCCAGCCTTACCTCAAAGAAGAAGACTTGGCCGACCGAATGGTGTTGGTCCTGTGCAATCTCAAGGCAAGGAAAATGGTTGGAATTCCCAGCCATGGCATGGTTTTGTGTGCATCTAATGCCGACCATACGGATGTCCGATTGGTCAGTCCTCCTATCGACGCGAAGATTGGAGAACGTGTCACCGTGCCCGATTTTGAGTTCGAGGGTGAGGAAGCCGAGCCTTATGCCGAGAATAAGGTCGGAAAGAAAAAGATCTTTCAAAAGATTGCTCCATACTTGGTGACATCGAAGTATGGTGTTCCAGAGTTCCTGGGTCGGCCGTTGATGACCAGTTCGGGAGTTTGCACGAGTCCTATTCCAGACGGAACTGTTAGCTAGATTGCATAATGAAAGATATAGTAAAAAATTAAATATTAACGTTAAAAGAAATTGAAATCGGTTACACCAACTAACTCTTGTATGAGCAAGAAGTGCTTTCAAAGTCATTCATCGCTATTTGGTCCTTTTATGCTGCAGTTGGAATACTATTGAAAATTGAAATGTTTATCAGAAAGGTTTTTCCCCAACATAAATGCGAAGACGAGTGTCGAAGCTTCGAGGTCTCGTGCATTGTCGCCACAGCAACGAAGAACAAGAAGAAAGAGCTTCCTCGTAACAACAGCAATACTATTACTACTAGAATTACTAGAACGACTAGCATTAGGAGGAAAGAATTAGAATGACCTCGTGGAGCTACGATGGCATGATTCGTTCTCGGTATCTTTGCGTTACCATTTGTAGATTTGATTGATGTGCTTCTGAATTTTTCGAAACGCAGCACTCATGTAGTACGAGTTTGTCCCAGTTGGTCGAGTTCTAGAAGTCTCGGAAGTACCATACGGTAGAAGTGGCCCGAATTACTGTAGTACGAACATGAAACTTTCAGATTTTTCGAGAAAAGAAAGCCAGCAACACATTGGTAAAATTCTTCACAAACGTGGCTGTCAAATACCTCAGTACAGCACCTGTTAGCGTACACTTGGTACAGTACTCGTTTTGTCGTGCGGGACTAAAGTCTTATGAACCCAATTTATTAGTAGAAGTAGTATAATTTTTACGCGCGCCAACCATTGGATTGTTCTTCGTATGTGCTATTTTGATCCTGTACAATATCGTAGGACAAAGCACGGAGAGGGTGCTCATAGGCAGGATAGGAGGAGAAGAAGCTACATAATGGTACTTATTTGTAGTCTCGTCGCAACGGTACAAATTGTACGATTATCGGGAAAGCGTTCTGTTTTTTCACCGATGACTGGGTTACCATCATTGGTTGAAATTCAGACGTACGTCAGCGACCATCAGAAAAAGATCGCGCGCTGCGAACAATCGTTTGCCATCAACGTGTCCTTTATTGGTGACGACAACTGAATCAGCCGTCCACACGCATTACGACTATTCATTGTGTGCGGTGTTCTCATCCAAAAACGCAGATAGAGTACGAATACGTACCGGTGAAGGTAGTAGGTATCCTGGAAGTTTTTCGTTGCAGCGCCATTACGGTGCGAGATCTATCACCAGACACACGAGACTCACCCACCCCTGTTGTCACCGTCTATTCCACAATTTTCAACGACAGTAATTGAAAAATGAAGACTGCATTCTGCCTAGCAACCATCTTGGCTTCGGCCTCCGCCTTCGCCCCTGCTTCGAAGCCTGCCTTCAGGTACGAATGACAATACCGTTGAGTTCCTGCAACTGATGTCGAATCACTTCGATTTCAGCAAACTTCTGTTAGAGTAGATGCAATTGCATCGAAGACGCCATCATATTTTATGATTTTGTAGACGGCACTTTCAGGCTGTTAAGGTGTCAGTTTACCGTAATTGTGCACTAAAAGATCATTGGGTGGTCGAATTGCATCATTTATGGGAGAATCCTTGGCGTCACACTTCAAAAGGCGACATTTCAGACAACTTCCAAAAAACTTTCATCTAACTCTTCAATTGCCTTGCTCTAAATTAATTTCGTTGCCACAGCACTCAAATTGCCGCTGAGGATTTCCTCGAGGCCGAGCCTTACTATGACCAATCTACTGTCCCTGTGAATGTCTGGAAGAACAAGGCTCCTTTCACCGGAAAGATTGTCTCGACCAAGCGCATTGTCGGACCTCAGGCTACTGGAGAGACTTGCCACATCATCATCGATCACGATGGAGACTTCCCTTACTGGGAGGGACAATCGTGGGGTGTCATCCCTCCAGGAACCCGAGAGAAGGACGGAAAGCCCCACTCTGTTCGTCTTTACTCTATCGCCTCCTCCCGTTACGGAGACGACAAGACCGGAAAGACTGGATCCCTTTGCGTTCGTCGTGCCACCTACTGGTGCCCTGAGCTCAAGGCCGAGGACCCAGCCAAGAAGGGAATCTGTTCCAACTTTTTGTGCGACACCCAACCCGGTGATGAGGTCACCATGACCGGACCTGCCGGAAAAGTTATGCTCATGCCTGAGGAAGACCCCAAGACCGATTTGATCATGGTTGCCACAGGAACTGGAATTGCCCCTTACCGTGGATTCATCCGTCGTCTTTTCGCCGAGGACACCCCTGCTGCCGAGGCCTACAAGGGACAAGCCTGGTTGTTCCTTGGAGTTGCTAACTCTGATGCTCTCCTTTACGATGATGAATTCCAAGCCGCCAAGAAGGCCTTCCCCGAAAACTTCCGTCTTGACTATGCTCTCTCACGTGAACAGACCAACGTCAAGGGAGGAAAGATGTACATCCAAGACAAGGTTGAGGAATACGCTGACGAAGTCTTCGAGAAGCTCGAAAACGGCGCACACATCTACTTCTGTGGATTGAAGGGAATGATGCCTGGAATCCAAGATATGCTCAAGGGTGTTGCAGAGAAGAAGGACATCGACTACGACGAATGGTTGAAGAAGTTGAAGAAGGCCAAGCAATGGCACGTCGAAGTCTACTAAGCATTTCATTTGTCTGTATCAACGACACGATGGGTTCCTTTTAGAAATTCATTTCGACAATGCTAGTAACGCTATGTTATCATTTTTCTATCTACTCTGTAACTCTACTGCCTGTCCCTAGACTTTTTAAATTGTGCCTAGAAGCATTTCTTTGTTTCTCGAACAGTGTCACAAAAAGCGTCGCCCACTATTGATAACCTTCTTTTGAGATTGAAGTCAGAGGCGCTTTTCTCTTTAAGTCTGACGATCGTACTATATGATTGTATCGGTGAAGTGTGTGTGTCGTCTTGTCATTTAAAACGAAGAGAAAAGATTGTTGTCTTTGTTTCTCCTTGTTCTGCAGGATGTAAGGGAAACTATAAATTATTTTCAAACAAATTTACTAAGTGAGGGCCCATTCGTAGAACGCAAAGATGAGTGTTGGGTGTGCGGATTGCTGTCACTCACTATTCACTCGTGAATTACTAAGTGGTACTGTCTCACACGCAAATGAGGAAAGGTGTATTTTTATTTTTAAAGCCTCAACCTTATTCAGAATGTGATTCGAAAGAAGAAGCGTGCGCGACGCGCACAATAGAACTTTGTGGTATGGGTAAAAAAATCGTCATCAAAATCGACAGATTGTTTGCTGGCCTCGGTTCTTTCCCCACATCAAAAACAACATCCTTCGATTCCAACAAACCTCACAAAAAACGCCAAAAATACCGAAACATGAAACTGTCGCTTTCTGTATGTCTTGCGGCTACTGCCGCCGCCTTTTGCCAGGGCTTCACTCCTACGGCATCCTCCACACGACAAAGCACAGCTATTCGGAATACGCCTGCCATGGGCCCATGGACCATGATGCCTGACGAACCGACACCCGAGGTGAGTTCATTTTTCGAGTTTCCCATATCTTCCATTCCACGTGTCTGAACAGGCGCTAAATCAGTGCCGATGGGATTTTTCCGAAACTTAAATCGACGAGGATGGCAGCCATGGTCACGGCTATGATGCAAAATCAAGCTGGAATACCCCAACTCTTAACCCATTGGTTCGAATTTGAATTATGTTGGATCTTTAGTTGCCACTCTCACGTTCACTACCTCACGAAAAATCCTTTCTAATTCGCTATACTTACTTGGAACGGCACAATCTCCGAATGGTTTCAATCCATATATTTGTCCGAACGAAACAATTGACATTTGACTCGACCCGCCCTCTGATGAAACAAAATGAAATTCATTGTGCTCCTTCAAATGGTTGTGCATCGGCTTCCTTCCACCTGATTACACGACTGGCAAAATGATTTTTTGCTTTGAATTAAATATTGATGATTGTTGTATGCACACGACAAACACCATTTCATGACTATCTCATCATTCATCCCAGGTCGACCCCCGTCGCCGCAACCCCGATGAGCAGCCCCCTTCCAACCCCGTTCGAATGCCTGTTATTGACACCGATAATGGACAAATGGATGTTCTCTCACGACTCCTCAAGGATCGTATTCTCCTTTTGGGACAGGGTGTCGATGACGAGGTTGCCAACGTTTTGGTTGCCCAGTTGCTGTACCTTGCGAACGAGGATCCCGAGAAGGACATCACCCTCTACATCAACTCGCCCGGAGGATCTGTTTCTGCTGGTATGGCCATTTACGATACCATGCAGTATGTCCCCTGTGACGTTTCCACCGTCTGCTTCGGAATGGCCGCCTCAATGGGAGCTTTCTTGCTCGGAGCCGGTGCCAAAGGCAAGCGACGAGCTCTTCCGAACAGCCGTATTATGATTCACCAACCTCTAGGAGGCGCCCAGGGTCAGGCCGCCGACATTGAGATCCAGGCCAAGGAAATTTTGTTCATTCGCGAAGTCTTGAATACCTACATTGCCGAGTATTGCGACCAACCCAAGGACAAGATCGAGGAAGATTGCGACCGAGATTTCTTCATGACCCCCGAGGAGGCCGTCGAATATGGTATCATTGATGAGGTCGTCAAAACCAAGACCTCGCACATTTCCAAGCCTGCAATGCCCGCCCTATAATATAATTTTGTTGTATTGATTAGTACTTTTGCATGCTACTATTATTGATACAGAAATAAAGAAACTCAGAACGCTGTAGCGGTCGAATCGTTGCACTAGGTTTGAAGAAGTACAAGAAAATCTTTGTACAGATAATGATATTTATGATTCAAGAAAGAAACTGTCATTCACTTCGATTGCACCTGGCCCACCTTGGTATTCGAGATCGTTTCTAGTGCCGCTCGCTTGGAAATGCGTTCGTTTTTCGTCAATATCTGGGACAACGCCCCTGAGAAGTGCTGTAAGAGCAGATGCAATCCCGAACGATCCATGGTTTCATCAGTCATTGCCGACAGGAGAAATCCTTCGGGACTTAGCTGTTTGTCGTTGGAGCGATTTGTGTCGGTAGCTGCTGTCGTTGTTGTTAATCGATCCAGGACCTCGGTCTTGACTCGATGGGCACCGTATGTTTCACAAGCTTCGAAGTAGGGAACATTGTGTCGTTTTCTTCGCTTCGCACGCCGTCTGTTCATTTTGGTGCCGTTGTCACTATTTCTGTAGCCGCAACTGTATGGACCGTCTTCGTTCGCAAAGACGAACCCGATTTTTTCTGGATAGTGCTTCATCCCGGCCTTCAAGACTATCGAAAACGCACGCATGCTTTCGTTCGAAAATCCCATAGACCAATGTATTGGCAGGCGGGGCTTGGTCGCGTCATAACTTTTTGTGCACGCACCGAATAGAGGAACCGATCCGCCAATCGGCGTTGCTAGCGTCGTGGGATCCCAGTCGGAAAAGAATCGGAAGCGTTGTTCCGGAAAATATGAATGGTTACGCCGATCCGTCTCCCCTCTTGTTGTCGACAAGCAAAAGAGGTTCCAAACAAGATCGTGGTCTCGAATGTCTTCTTTTGTCAATAGCTGTTGTTCTTTGAGTGTTTGGAGTGTTCTCGAAGTGGTCTCGTCGCACAACTTTTGGTGTTCTTCGTCGTGGGAGAAGCAAACCCATGGATAGAGACACAGATTCTGCAATACATTAAGCCCATCAAGATCTTTTGACAGAAGGCCCCCTCTCATAGCCAAATAACTGTCATTATTGTAACTATCATTGTTGTTCTCTTCTATTTCGTCTCGAAACCGACAGCCGAGTTCTGCCCCGAGTTTTGCCAGCATTGGAACTAGGGACAAGGACTTCAACGAATAAGAGGTAGCATCCTCGTCGGAGGTTTCTTGCAGTTTCCATGTTTGCCAATGAATGGGATATGCTCCGTTCCACTTGGTTGATAGAACGCTAGGAACTAGACGAATCGCTGCCGTGATTTTTGCTTCATCGAACCAATCTAAGTAGAAACCACGATCGGCTCGCTCTGGATTGAATTCGTCGCAGAGTAGTTGGTGAACGGTGTTCTCTAGATTTGCGAGGAAAGACTCAGCAATGTCGTTGATGCCTTCCTGGATCACAGTCTCTCTAGATATGAGTAGCCGGGTCATTGTTGCCGCAATCTCGCTGTCGCGACACTCTGGTTCATCTTCGAGAATCGAAGAAAGCAATGATAACACGTCCTCGTCTTGGATTGCGGAGTTGGTTCTTGTACTAACACTCATGAACGCAGTCTTCCATTTATCGAGGAACCCATTTGCTATCATCAGTGCGACGATAGAGTTTTGAATTTCCTCGCAAACAAACATGGGCAAATCTCCTTTGCTTCGACTTTCGAGAACTCTGAGGACTTGTTCTCCATTTTTGGTCAGTTTTGTTTGTTGTCCCGCCAACAATGTAGTCTTTGTTGTTTCTGTCATCGTGTCTTGATTTTCGTTGCTTTACCTGATGGCATTTCCAATTTAACGTTGTCAAACTATACGAATCGTTGCACAAAGGAGACCATGAAAGAGATTTTGTTTTGGAGAACTCGTTGTCCACCACGAGCTTCGTAGTAAGATATTGAATGGGTATTTGTCGAGCCAGGGAAGTTTTCGTTTCGATGATTTTGGTTAGAGACCGTACCACTCAATGTGGTATCACGTTAGAATTTTGGTATGGAAGACTTAAGAGTTGTTGTCTTTCCAATGAATCTTCGTTGTGAAAACGGAAAAAGTGATATCCGCTTTTTCTCTATCCGTTGAGAATGATATTTTTGGCTTTGGTGTAGAATTGTATCACTGAAGCGTCACGTCATCGTATTTCTTTTTGTGGCTACTTGTCGTTATGTAGAGATCATTATTTGCCGCTTTTGGATAGTACACGTGATATGCTTGAATGACTTTCAAACCCGCGCATTGAATTTTTCGTCATTTCGTTGGATCAGCACACAAGTTCGTTCTCCAAATCTCTTTTTGGGCTTCCTTCGAATACTTTTGAACTGGCGCCAATTCGATACTAATTGCGATTATGCACGATGTGACGTATTTTGGTTCGATTTAATAGCGTAAGAGTGCGTTATATGTTTTGGATTAGAACTCTTGATAATAATATTCGGATCCCGTGCGACCATTTTTCAAAAAATGACGCCATACCACTTAATAAAAAGTTTTCCTCGCTCATGTGTTCTTGGAGCTGCCGTACAATCTAAATCACGGGAGGAAACTAAAACATGAAGCTCTGGCGAAAGCGAGAAGTCTACAGTACATCTATTTTTAATATTAATTTCCAGGACAACACGGTACAGCAATAGGTGATGTTGATTCGATACTAAAACGTACGAAGCCTTAAAGAAAATTAATCCTATTGACTAGATAAATTAGTAAAGAATGAGAATACCCGGGCATCATAATCCTTGGATTATTCCCATAAGCTGGATTCTCACTCTTGTCTGATTGATAAATTTTCTCCAATTTTGTCGATGTTCGCCAAACTAAAAATTATGACGTCATCGATAATTTTCGACGTCTGGTCGTCAACACACTCCTCGCTGTGGCTACGTTGAAAAAGCTACTGGATTCACCTCTCATTATGCAGTCGCTGCAGCAGCTGTCTCCACAGTGTCATTTTGATCGCCTATACGGAGCGCCTGTGCCTCTTGATATAGTTGCTTGTAATGCAAGTATTCCTTTTCAGTTACACCCTGTATGGTGTTTCGGAACTTTCGAAACTTTGCTCCTTGCAGCGGYTTGGTGAAGTAGTCCGCAACTATATYATCGGTCGGACAGTRCTCCACTGTGACTTCTCCCTTCTTTAYTCTGTCYGTGACAAAGAAATACCGGATGTTGATGTGACGGGTCCTTTTGGTGCTTGATGCCCTACCGTTCTTTTCYAACTTGATCGCGCTTTCGTTGTCCTGATACAGGATATTATTCTTCATGATYCTCAACGACTTAGCATCCACRCTTCCTGCATTATCGGTCATGTGTTGCCGYTGTGCCAGCAGAAAATATCTTGCCCAGATTATGAATGACATATTATCATCCACCCCCACGACTTCTGCTTCCGTTGAGCTCTTAGTGTTTAATTTCTGCTTGGTACACGTGGTGATGGCTGCCCCGTTTCCGAGGGTCATCATTCCACCAGAATGGCTTCGCATATCCTTGTGAACTGCGAATGCTGCATCCACATGCCAATATACATTGCCAGTCTCATCCCAGCCCAGAACCAGAGGAAGAAATGCTGTTTCGCGGAGGTATCCCAACGTACATGTCAAGCAGGACTTCCTTGAGGTCCTCGTTGACTTCGCTTTTCTTCTCTCCTTCGACTATTTTGGTTTCTGTCCATTCTGCTTCAGTTGGCTTGGTAGGTGCGAAACTTGATCTGGGGAGACGACTTAGTATTTCAATCGATAGTCCTACCTTTGGCATGTATTGGGATCCACCCACTGTCTGCAATCGTTCGTGCAGTTCAGTGAATTGTGCAATGTTCCCGTCCTCGGTTAGCACAATTCCCTCGAGGTTTCCTTTGTCATGCCCCGCGAACTTCTTCATGTTGCCTTTGCTTGTATTTCCTGATGCACCTTTGCTTGAGTTATTCCCTTTTCCTGGACGCTTGTTGGTGGTATTATTGTTATTGGTATTGGCCACTTTGGCCCATGATTCACTTGTCATGTTTGTTATCGGCAGAGCGTCCTTGGACACTGCTGTTCTTTATGGACCCTTGGGTCCAGCTCAGTTCCACTGCACTCCTTAGAATAGCAGTGTTGCTGGCGATAGACAGAATAGGCTATCGTCTTGTTTCCTTTACTAATTTATGTTGATTCGATACTAAAACGTACGAAGCCTTAAAGAAAATTAATCCTATTGACTAGATAAATTAGTAAAGAATGAGAATACCCGGGCATCATA